TACAAACTCAATTATACAAGTAAATAAACTCGCTTTCATATTATAGCACAATTAATAAACTACTACCTAAGATAAATTCTCCCAATTACTTTAAACCTTTGATTGCCCCTAAATATATGCTTTTAAGCTTGCTTTTTCAAGCTAAATATGATGCTCGAATGATTAATCTACAATTAGTCCAGTTTGAATTTATCAACATTGTCAAATACATACTTTCAAGCTCTCACTTTCCACTTTTAAACTGCCCAATATCCTTATTTCTCACATTTAGGCTCACTCATTAGATCTACCAAGTTCTTTTAGCTCACATTATCATTAATAAGTTATTAAACCTCCATTAATGACATTTTAACTCATGCAACAACCTTCATTAATGTCATTTTTGGATATTGATGGCATTTACCGATCAATAATCTTTAAAACCATTAATACTAGGTTTAAATACTCTAAACAACTCTCATTAACTCCATTTAAATTAATGAGTTCGAACCCATAAGCTATGTGGATCAAAAATCATCATCCCAGCTCAAATCCTAACTTTAATCTTCATTAAAATAGAAGAGAAAGGGAGATTAGGGCTTGAAAAACTTAGCTTAAGTGATTGGAAGATCTAAAATGCTCCTAAAGCTTTGAATCTTCAAGCCCTAGTAGAGCAAAGGACATTTTCTTTGTTTTCTCCTTCTTCCTCTTTTGATTTATGTCTCAATTTGCAAGCTATTTATCAAAAATTTTTGCCATGCACTGTGGTGCACACAGCACATGCCGTAGCATGGTATAAACAAGCCCTCCTTCTTCGTTTGTCAACAGTGCACCGTGGCTAACATGCTGCATGCCGTAGCATGTGACATAAAGACAATCCCTTCAGGTTTTCTCACCCTTTCGATGCCCGAGTGGCCTGACTTCACTTTAAATCCATAAATAGGGCCAAAATTACAATCAATTACACTTATTAAACTTCTTTGACCATATACCACATCAAATCACTCAATTCTCATAATTAAACTTAGTTAATTCAAGCTAAATTTTTCTAAGATGTTACAATTATCAAATTAATATTTATTGATAATTTAACTTCTATTAATTTTTTTGATTTGTTTGGATCAAAGAAATTGGTTGAGAGGTGGGATTTTAAATTTAATGACTTCAATTTTAGAAAAAATGGAGAATTGTGGCTTGAAAGTTTTTAATCAATTTTTTTTATTTTTTTCCTTTTGCATCTCTCAAATAAAATTTTATAACATATTTTTTCATTTTTTTAAAAAAATGAACCCATTAAATTTTTTTTATTCGCTTTAAATAAAAAATAAGGGTGAATGTTGTTCTGCATCGCACAGGCATACAATACAATCTAGTTGTACTTACTTCTTGTGAGGGTTAGGTGAAATTCTATGGAAGGGAATAAAGGCACAGAACTTATTTAAAATTATTTTTATTTTATTATTGTAAGCATTGGTATTTTATAAAATATATTCTATGAATAAAAAATAATAAAAATATATATTTTTTATATTTTTTTTATTTTCTAAAACAATAATCTCATAATACTTAAAAAATGTTTATGTTTTTTATTCTCCAAAATAATAATAATTTTTTTAAAAATGTGTTATCAAACTGATTTTTCTCAAGATAGATCAACCAAACAAGGCTATGGATTTTTGATTTGCATCCTGTCTTTTCCTTTATATTTGACTTTCTAGTTTCCTATAATTTTAGTGCGAATATTCTTGCTTTTTTTTTTTTTTTAAGTATACATTTGCTTGTTCAAAATATTTTTTTTTTGTTCGAGCAACAATATTTTCGTATTCATTATTCTCCCATGCATATTATCGGTTCACCGATATTCCCATAGTATTATCAGTCAGCTTAAGCTGTAAGATCAACAAATCATAGTATTTAAAAATTAAAATTGACTGAAATATATATATTTTAATTTTGAGACAGTCACATATGATTCCCTTGCTTTTGGACATTTAACATTAACTCACGCGACCTTTAATTTTATTTTTCACAGACTTTAAGTTTATTTTATTAATATAGTTATTGCTATGTCAGATTAATGCAATGCATATAACACATGCCATAAAAAAAATATTTTTATTATTTTTAACACAATTTAAAGAGAGGCAAAATTATAATTTTCACTTTTAGTATGCATGATGATGCTCTCATTTTTTTAGTTAAGTGTCATTGTTTTCATTGTTCATGGCCAAAACACAGGTAACACAATTTGAGAAAAAAATTATATTTTTATTATATTCTTTATCAATTAAAACAATGTTTTATGTTAAATAAATAAAAAAATATCTAAAAGCTATCATTGATAAAAATCAAATAAACAAAAAGTTATCATTTAACACAAGAAAATTATGATATTTTACAAGTTATTTTTAACAAAATTGATACAAAACACCAATAGCAAAAAAGTATATCTAATTCTAGAGCTGCATACATTTCATTTATAATACATCAACAACATTTTTTTTTGAATAAGTACTAAAAAATTTATTAAAAAAATAATAATTACAAACAAATCAGAGTATGTAGAAAATAAATAAAGTGGATAACAGAATTTATAGCACTCTTATTAATGGCAACTTTTAAATATTTTTTTTCATTTGTTCAACCCAAAAGGTTTTTTTTAATTGACGAAGAATAACAAAATTATATTATAATTTTTCTTAAATTATATTACTTGTGAACTATGAGAACAATGCCACTTAACTAAAATAAATGAGAGCATTGTCATGTGTGTTAAAAGTAAAAATTATAATTTTGTTCTTCCCAAATTGTGTTAAAAAATAATAAAAATATTTTTTTCCATGTCATGTATTATGTATATTGCATTAATATAACATGACAATAATTATATTACTAAAATAAAAGTTAATTAATGGTAAGAAGTTTTAAAAAATAAAATTAAAAGTTAGGAAACTTAATTTTAGTGTCTGTTCGGATAGGCCAGTATAATCAATTCTACCCACCAAAACCATAGTTTTGCTAAATAAAACACAAACACCTCATTTTTTCTATAATCGCTTTTTTCTCTAAAACTCTGTTTCTTCTTAAGCAATCTATACCTGCTTTTTATAATCAATTATTTCATTTGACTCCATTAATATTTGTTAGAATTTTCAATCTACCAAAGATACCCTTAGTTTCTAGCAAAGGATGGCACATATTATATTACCTAAAGACCTTGGTGTTCAAACAATATTTTGCAAGATTTGACTAGCAAGATAAATACATGCATGGAAAAATAAAATTATAAGATCCTGAAATCAAAACATACGTAGCAGATTGTGATGAGGATTGATATGAAAGATTCCTCTATTTTTAATATGATTTTTAAATATAAATTTTATAATTAATCATATATGTGTTAAATATTATATACTCCATTTATTCAAAAATGTAAGGCATTTTTTAAGGAATTGAATGTTAAAAAATGTAAGGCATTTTTAGTCTTTCGAGGTATAATCATTGTCCTTTTTTTTTTCTAAAAGTGTTTCTATTAATAATGACTTTATTTTTATTATATGTGTTTTATAGGGTTAAATATGAAAAGATAGAGTTAGTTAAAAAGTATGTAACTACTTTATTGGGGGGTAAGATTCGAATAAAAATGCCTTATATTTTTAAACGGAGTCAGTAAATATTAATTGGATCACTATTTTATATTTTATTTGTTAAACAGAATTTAACAAATTTAATAATATCATGTACAATTATACTTTATTAATATTTATATCTTAAAAGACAATGTTTTTATGGTAATTTGAATATCTAAAATTAATTTTGATTAAATTATTTAAACAATTTCAATTTTGTCAAAATTAATTTTAAAAAAAAAATATCCAAACATGATCATGTTATACCGAACTAAAATCCAAACATGAAATGTGAGAAAGATTATATACAACTGTCTTAAAATTTAAGAAATTTTATACATTTTAACTTTTAAAATTTAACGATAATCTTTAAAGGGAAGGTTACTAGCATTAAATGACACCAATTTTCCCTGATCTGGATCAATTGTATTAATTGGAATCTTATTACTCTTTTTTTTAAGGTGAATGAAATCTTATTACTTTTCCTGTCAAAATTTACTATTAAATTTCCAAAAAACTATTTTTCCAAAATATTATTGCAATTAAATATTTAAATATTTAAAAATATTTCTATTCAAAAAACAATAATTAAAATTTAGATGTGAATTCATCAGAATCAACTTTACAAAATTCCTAGACCAATATGGACTACGTACCTACTAAAATAATATATATTTTGACTATTTTTTGCGTGAATAGAAACTGGACGTTTGCAAGTTTTTGTTATCAGAGAAAAAAATGCGCGCGCGCGCATATATATATATATATATATATATATTAAAAAAATTAATAATTTAATTAATTTCAACTACGTTAAAAATTAAACTTTAATTAAGGGTTTAGCCCTTAATAAATTCTAACTTTTGTAACTCAATTCTTACTATTTTATCTATTTAAAATGTTATATTCTACTTTTTTGGTCAAAAAGTATTTATATATATATATATATATATATAAAACCAGAACGTAAGAAGGTCCAAAATGTTATACCCTGCATTTAAAGAATAAAGTTACTATTAAGATTTAAAAAATAATATTTTAAATGATTGAAAATGAAATGGAGTTAAAATTAAAAAATAAAGTTATAAATGAATCAAACTGATATCTTCATTTATTTTTGTTTTTATAAAAATAATTTATTATTTAATTATTTTAAAATTTTATAATATGTTCATATATATCGTATTTTTAATTTAATGATATTTTCTCCAATCCATTAGATTATTTTTGAAAGATATTTAAAATTACATCAATGGAAACTTTGGTTCTAAGTCTTGTCAAGATTAGATTACGTGGACGAGGTGATTATTATTACTAATTTTCCCACATTTTGTTCAAAGTAAAGAAAAGAAAAGAAAAAGGGAAGTCAAGGGTGATGGGAAGTGGAAGGCAGTGAGGTTAGGCGAAGGACATCACGGGCACGTCGCCCTCGTCCTCCGAAATCCCGCCTCAATTCCTCCGTCACTTCCCCACGCTTTCCTTCTCTCTCGACTTCACCGGAACCTTCTGGAATCCTTCTCCTTTGGCAACACTAGTATAGGACCGTCGCGTCTTACTCACTAATTAAGGCCATCCTCGTAATTTCATCACTCCCGCCTACTCCTATAACTAGTAGTCCTTCCTCTTTCCCTGTCCCACTCATCCTGTTTCTCTTTGCTCGTCTCTTTTTGCCTGATTTCTCCAATGGACAGGGGTGGATATTATTATGGTGGCGCCGGTCGCTACAGGGGAGCGCCAAGAGGCCGGAATGTCGGCAGATCGGGGGGAGGACCACCGCGCGGCGGTGGTGGAAGAGACTTTCATCGCCAGCCACAGCCTCACTATGATCGTTCCGGCGAGGATGCCTGGAGAGGCGGTTATGGTAGAGGAGGATTTGATAGAGGGAGGCCTCACTATGATCGTTCCGGCGATGAGGCGAGGCGAGGCGGTTATGTTAGAGGAGGACTTGATAGAGGGGGTGCCAGGGGAAGAGGCAGAGGTCATGCCAGAGACGCTGCTGGACCTTCGGTTTGGGTACCCAGTGAATCCGTTCAGCCTCGCAATTCTGCTGCTCCTGATCCAGGTATTTCAAACTCACTCGTGTTTTTTAATGATCCCCTTCCCTCCACCTTTTTGACTATGGATATGAGATGTGCTATTTTCAGTTGTATATCTCTATTTTTAGTTGTTTTGCTGTAGAGTGATTATTAGTCTGAAATACTTCCCTCTTCATTTCTTTGAGTCAGTCAGGCTTTTATTTTATCGACTGAGACAATTTAGTTTTGTTGTGCAATAATGCTGTATTTCTTGCTGAGATTTACTCGCTTGTTTCCTTTAGAACTTGTATGGTTTTCTGAGCTTGTATTTGAGGAGTGGCAGCATTATGTCCAGCTTTTAATGATTTTTTCTTCTGGTAGTTCCCGAATCGGAACCACGGCAAATTTCACAATCGGTTTCAATCTCATCTCCTACTACCCAGGTGATGAAAGATAAAATTTCACCAGTTCACAGGCCTGACAAGGGTGGTACATTATCGGTTCGAGATAGCAAGCTTCGTGTCAACCACTTTCCTCTCACATTTAAACCTGACACTATAATCATGCATTATAACGTTGATGTGAAGCCCATGTCACCTGCCAGACCTGGTCGACCTCAAAGAATATCAAAGTCTGACCTCTCTATGATTAGGGAGACATTGTTTTCTGGTGACACTAGGTTGCCATTGGAGAAGACAGTGTATGATGGAGAAAAAAATATTCTCAGTGCGGTTCGTTTACCAGAAGAAACTTTTACGGTGACTATCTCGGCGGGAGAGGATGAGAGAAGCTATTCATATCAGGTCACCTTGACACTCGTTAATGAGCTTGAGTATCGCAAGTTGAGCAAGTACCTCAATAAGGAGCTTATGTCAATTCCCAGAGACATTTTGCAAGGGATGGATATAGTGTTCAAGGAAAATCCAGCCAAGCGTACAATCTCTCTGGGACGTAGCTTCTATCCTTCAAATCCTCCATTGTTACATGAGGATCTTCACCATGGCATAATTGCAATAGGAGGGTTTCAACACAGTTTGAAGCCTACATCTCAGGGTCTGTCCTTATGTCTGGACTACTCAGTTTTATCTTTTCGAAAGCGAATGTCAGTGTTGGATTTCCTATGTGAACGTATTTCTAATTTTAGGTTGGAAGAATTCGGACGTTTCAGGAATCGTGTTACGACGGAATTGATTGGGTTGAAGGTAAATGTGACACACCGTAGAACCAGGCAGAAATTCACCATTGTTGGGTTATCACCCCGTAACACAAGGGATACCACCTTTCCTCTTAAGGATCCAGAGGGCCGTAATGACCCACAGCAAGTTACAATTCTTGACTATTTCTGGGACAAATACAATAAGGATATTGCATTCCGAGATATTCCTTGCTTAGATTTTGGGAAAGGTGTCTATGTGCCAATGGAGTTTTGCATCTTAGTTGAGGGTCAGAGATATCCCAAAGAGTACTTGGATAGAAATGCTTCCAAGAAGTTGAAAGGTATGTCACTGGCCGATCCAAAGGACAGACAGAGTGTCATACAAAGGATGGTGGAGTCAAGTGATGGACCTTGCGGGTAAGTTGAGTTGTATTCAAATGATTTATTTTTAATTTATGAGTTTGTTTAGGATAGTTTTATTGCCTTTTCATGATTCTTTGTTACTGTTTAATGGAAATTATAATTATAAATATTTACATTATGTGAAAATTGCTTTGAAGTTGCTTTTAGTCTCCTTTTCAATTTGATACATCAGGTTTTTGGCCACTCATTCTCATCTTGCCTTCTTGCTTAGTACTTAAAAAGCATTGACCTTTTAAAGATGGAAATCCTTTTTATTTTAGTTTTAAAAAGTATTTTAATTTACTATAATATAATATGATTAAATGACTAAACATGATGACCTGGTAATTCAAAGTTTGCTTCAGCTTAGCACGTGAGTAATCCATAATTTTTTTTGGTTGGCAACAATGTCTCACACATAAATGTTTTTCATTTGCAGTGGTGGTGTTATTCAGAATTTTGGAATGGAAGTCAACACAACCATGACTTCTGTTTTAGGACGCATTATTGAGCCACCGAGATTGAAAGTAGGTGGTCGGAATGGCCAGATTATGACAGTAAAGTTGGATACGGAGAGATGCCATTGGAATCTAGTTGGAAGATCTGTGATGAAAGGCAAGCCAGTTGAGCGTTGGGGCATTATTGATTTTACAAGCTTCGAGTCAGATTTCCGGTTCAAATTAAGATGTAAGGAATTTATTCCTAAGCTCAAGGAAAAATTTAGAAGTTTGGGCATTGGCATGAGTGATCCTCTTTGGGTTGAACGGTCTTCGATGAATCAACTTGAAAGTCATGGTTCACTGTCTGCATTACTTAAGAAAGTGAGCGATTGGGGTTATGTGCAATTTATTCTGTGTGTGATGTCACAGAAACATTTTGGGTACAAGATGCTCAAGTGGATCTCAGAGACCAAGGTTGGTGTGGTGACGCAATGTTGTTTATCTGGTACTGTGAACACAGGAAATGATCAGAATTTTACAAATCTTGCTCTCAAGATCAATGCCAAACTTGGAGGTAGCAATGTTGAGCTTGAGAATAGGCTCCCTTGCTTTGCAGGCGATGGGCATGTTATGTTTATAGGGGCAGATGTCAATCATCCTGCTGCTCGAGACGTTAATAGTCTGTCCATTGCTGCAGTGGTTGGAACTGTCAACTGGCCTGCTGCAAATCGTTATGCGGCACGTGTTAGCCCTCAATCCCATCGGAAAGAACAAATATTGAATTTTGGAACAATTTGCCTGGAGCTTGTGAACTGCTATGCAAAGCTGAACACAGTGAGACCAGAAAAAATTGTTGTTTTCCGTGATGGGGTGAGTGAGGGCCAGTTTGACATGGTTCTGAATGAAGAGCTGCAAGATCTGAAAAGGGTTTTCCGAAGCGCAGAGTATTTTCCAACTATAACTCTGATTGTAGCGCAGAAGCGACATCAGACTCGGTTGTTCCGAGAGGAGCCTTCTGTCGGAAATGTATATCCGGGAACAGTGGTGGACACAACAGTGGTACACCCTTTTGAATTTGACTTCTACCTTTGTAGCCACTATGGAAGCTTGGGGACCAGCAAGCCCACTCACTATCATGTGTTGTGGGATGAGCACAGGTTTACCTCTGATGCCTTGCAGAAGCTCATATATGATATGTGCTTTACCTTTGCAAGGTGCACTAAACCTGTGTCTTTAGTCCCTCCTGTGTACTATGCTGATCTCGTTGCCTATCGAGGACGGTTATACTATGAAGCAAAGACCGAGTTGGAGAGCTCGAAGCCGGCATCGATTCCTCCTTCATCTGCTAATGAACAGAGATATTTCAAGCTGCACGGGCACCTGGAAGACATGATGTTCTTTGTCTGAGGGACCACCTGTGGGCAGTTCTGTCAGTGGATGAACCCATGGCTGGGTCTCATTGCATTTCCTTGAGTTTGTGCGTGAATCTAATGGGTCACGAGACATGAACTTTCTTCTGCTGTCTTTGTAGTTGTACTTCGTTCCTTTATCATTTCGTTAGACTGCTGGTGGTTGTTTGAATGATTGTGTTAAGCATTAGTTTGTGTTCTGTGTTGTGTTCAGGGCATTTGATTGGCCTGGAACTCTTGATGATGACATGGAGTTCGTTATTCTAGTGCCTTGCCTGTGCTAGCAAGAGGAGCAGCCTATTGTTATAACTGGATTTATTCCCGTGGGCTGGTGATGTTTCAGTATTTAAAAGGTGAAAATAAGTAAAAATGTGAAAATTTTAAAAATCAAGTTAGTGTTTTCATAATTCATTTTTTTGAATTAAAATTTAAACTAAAACTTATTTTAATTGAAGTCATATAGATGTGCGCTCAAAAGGTTCATTAATTGCTTCCATTTAAGTGAGAAAATTTTCATCTTGGAGTACCGTAGTGTCACGTTGACCCCAAAATGAAGAGCCTAATAAAATTGTTAATCATTAATCAATAGAAATAAATGGTATTTTTAAGGGTGTGTTTGGATTTTAATTGAAAAAGATTAATTATTAGAACGTATGAGGTTTGGATAAATTTTTTGAAATTAGTTATGATAAAGTTGATGATGTTTAGATAATTTTTTCAGAATTAATTTTAAGTGGATAATTCTACTATTTAAAGTGACAAATTAATAATATTTAGAATTAATTTTTTAAAATGAAATAAAGTTTAGTTCATCTCAAATGGAGTTTGAAAAAATTAGTGTTTGGATAAAAAATTTTCAAACCATGGTTTTTTTCAAATTAATGTTGTTTTATTTACAAGTCCAATTTAACAATTTAATGTTTGCAAATCAAATTTTCTAATTTACAAGTTACAATTTAGAAGTCAAATTTAACATCTTAATATTTACAAATTAAACTTCTATATTTAGATTCTGAATGGCGTCATTTATAAATGATTAATTACGTTTTTCCCCCCATAAGTTCTCCAGACTTGTATGACTATGAAGAAAACACATAATCATTTGTAAATGATGCAACTTAACGGGTTAATAATATAAAATTTTAAGTCGTAAACATTAAATTTTTAATATTTGAACTTTAAAAATGTCAAAAAATAATTTTGGCTCGAAGTTGGCAACAACTGGTCATTGGTGGCCGATGGCTAACACCGCTATCAACCATCCCACGTTAATCAACAGGGTCAAAACGCAATGAAATAATTTCACACCTTTTCCAAATTAGTAAATCCCTTAGAGCATATTAGTAATAAATAAAATTCAAGAGCCTATCTATATTTAACTTCCTTCCTTGCGATCCATGAGTACTTTTCCCAAAATAAAATACATACAGACCAACGGACCTCAGTTCCGCATGTGGCTCAAGAAAAATCATCCTTGATCCTCAGCCCAAATGAACTACAACAGCAGTTATTATGACCTTAAGCTGTACAGTAAAAGAAGTGGGGTGGTCTCACTCAAGGACCCTGAAGCTTATTATTAACAAAAAAAGACCCTGAGATTCTGAACTCTCTCTGCACACCCAAGGGACCTAAGTGAACAATAATATTTAAAGAAAAAAGACAAAAATAACCCTATTGAGATGAACTCAAATTGCTCTTTGTTAATTATTTATGGTTACTTGTCAATATGCAAATGCATGCTTGTTGTAACAGAACCAACACATGAAAAATCAGGACAAATCGTAAGATCCTTGGCCTTCACTGATTGCATAGTGTAGCTTCTTGTACATAATTTCCTCTTTTCAACTAGACATCAAAGTTCAGTTCAAAATAATGCAACATCAGCATGAATGAATAATGCATGCTTGGACACCAATGGTCATTTTACCAAAAAATCTCATCTCGTGTTGCCTTGGTGAATAAGGAGGAAGCTTCAGGTAATTAGCAAATTTTTTCAACTTTCATGGATAACATTAACAAAGGAGCACAAAATATAATATTCATGTTCTTTATTTTACTCAAGTAAACTGTGGTATTCATCAGCTGAATAGCCCAGAACGTAATCTCGTAATTTGTATCCTCGCAACCAACAAAGTAAGAACCATCAGATAATACAAGCAACATGTTTTTAAGATCATAGTATCTGAGAAATGAACTAGAATACAACTATCAATGGACAGAACTCTAGTAGGCTACTCACAAGAATGTTTTGAGATTAACACTTCCAACTTTAAAGACCAATATATAATGAATATAAATAACACGGACTCATGAACATAGTGCAACCATATCTTGGTGAACAATTTTTCAAGGGAAAAATCCTTGGTCACCAGTATCAAGGGAGACTCGTGTCTCCTCATCCAATAAGAACTCATTAGAATACCTTTCTCACAATTGTTAGCTTTGGATTCAGCACTGCAAGCCCGCTAGGTGGCAGCCTAGGGGCTCCATTAACAAATTGATAGAAGGCGTGTTACTGCCCAGGTTTAAACTCTCCCGTAATTTCAAGTAACTGAAAACAGAATCAAACATCTTAAGGGCCTAGTAAATGTCATATAATTGTAACATTGAGGAGTTAGTTGCTATTAGTCCAGTAGAATTAGTCATATAGCTGTTGGGGATCCGTATTGCTATAAATACCTTTAGAATTTTGAATTCATTATGTTTTATGAGAAAAGGCCGAGCATTATTTAGTTCATCTCTTGTCTCTAAACTCCCTCAATTCTTCTCTAGCTCCTCTGTTCTTCCCTCTCCACTCTCAATTCTCCTTAAATCTCTCTCACCCGAATTATCCTACCACAACAGTGACATCAGAGCAGGCATTCCTTGGCCTACTTTTCTTTTCTTTTCTTCTATTTTCTTTTATTTCCTTCATTCCGAAGGTTTATATTGGAGACCCGAGGCCAAAAAAACCTAAGAAAGTAATGGAAGCAAGGCTGGACAGAATTGAACGACAGATTGCAACAATTGATACTCTCACCAATTGTGTTATTGAGTTGTCTAATCATATTCAAATATTGATGAGAGAGGAAGTAGAAGGCAATAACTTGCAATGGACCATTAAAGAATGCTTTGGGTCTTCATATGAAGCACCCATGGGTAACTTAATGAGGTTACGGCAACAAGGGACTTTAGCAGACTACAACTACGCCTTTGATTCCATTTCTTGCAAGCTGCAACTTAAGCAAGAATATTTGGTGGACGCACATAATAGAGGCTTGCAAGAAGACGATGTTGATCCAGTACGTCTCTTTAAACTAAAAACAATGCAAGAAGCGAGGAGTTTGGCGCGGATGCATGAGATTACGTTTCAAAGGCAAGCCGAGAAGAGAGCATATGTGAAGAATAATGCGGATGTGCGTGCTGAAGCCAGTACTCAACCTTTGCACCTCAAATTTGATGTGGGTCAATTGGCTCAAGAAGAAGGTTTTTCTTCCCCTTCGATAAACCATGAAAGTATCAAAGTGCAAGAATCACAAAAAGATGATAATAAGGTTGAAGAAGAAGATAGATTTGGTTTGGTCACTTCCCCAGCAAGCCCATTTCAGTTCAACGATGAGCAAGAGCCCTCTGCCACTAAAAGAGATAGTGGATCTTGTTTAGTCTCTTCCCAAAAAGCGTGTGACAGAGTGCAATAACCCTTGGTGCGAGATGGTGATATCAAGAAGGAGCATTAGTGTGAGCTCGATTCCATATAAGTGGGTTCGAGGTTCTGCAAATGGAGCTGTTCAGAGTCTTTCACAGCTGGAGTTCACAAACATGTTTTCTATGGCTTGTATTTTAAGGCCCAGTTCAGATGGAGGGGTGGGGTACTTGAGCAAAGCCAAAAAAGGTTTGGAAGGTTGTCGTCTTCACTGCTGTCTTCTCTAGTTTCTCCATTCCAGACTGTTTTTGTATTTTCGAAGCCACCTTTGCTGTCTATTTCTTTTCTTAAAATACTGTGTTACTGTTTTTCTGGGTGAGTTTTCTGATTTTACCACTCAAAAGATGACATGGGAATGTGCTTTAGTACTGAAAAGTCAAAAGCACCTGTATCTTTCTTTGGGTGGGACTCGCAAAGGTGGTGCCAACTATTAAAGGCCTGTGTGAATTTTAATTAGATATAATTAATTAAAAAGATTAATTAATATAATTATAATTAATTATATTATAACGTGATCATATTTAGATATTGCTTTTTCTAAAATTAATTTTGACAAAATTAAAAATATTTGAATGATTTAATTAAAATTAATTTTAAAAATATAAATTATTATAAAAGATATTGTGTTTGAAAATTAAAATATTGATAAAATTATACTTAATATTAGTAAATTTGTTCAACTTTATTTAACAGGTAAAATATATTATTCAACTTATATACTTGATTAATTATAGAAATTTAAATTATATTAACATTAATAATTTAATGTATGTGAAAACTAAGTCAATATATCTAGACTCAAATAAATTTAATAAAACATAGAGATATAATTTTTAAATACCAAACATTAATTTTACAATAATTAAACATTTAGTTGATAATATACAAGTTAATTTTTAATGACAATGCGAAAACCAGCCATGTCTAATGAAGACAGTATAGATGATGATAAAGATGAATATTCATCAACGTGATAATCTTCCTCATGCTCTATTTTATGCTTTTTTTTAATTAGAGGGACAGACACTAACGACCTAAGTTACGATAAAATTAAAACTATAAAGATTAAATTATAATAAATTAAAGTTTAATTTTTAAACTATAATTAGATCAAAACTATAGAAACTAAATGGTTAACTTTTCCATATTATTAAATTTATTTTGATTTATTTTAAAAAATATAATAGTGATACATTTAATACTTGTAAAATTATTTAACACAGATATAATAAATGTTCGAAACACACACATATAAAATCATTTAACAAAATGAATGCTAGAGATATATATTTGGATATGAGGAAGACACCACAAATCACAATTACCATAAATCATGAATCTCATAATGCAAGGGTATATTTGGTAGTTTTGAAATTCTGGCAAATAATGAATGTTTCAACACACATAATTGATATTGAAAAGCTAGGGAGATCAGCTTAAGTCCAAACGCAGTTTAAGGTGAGATAATCAATTGTGGAAAAATAGGAGTGTTTGGATAATTTTGATGGAAACATGGTTCCCATACTGATAATCAATTACAATGATTAATGACAAATCGAAATAGGCAGTAAAAGTAAGGAAAAAGATAAAGAGTGTAGCAGCAAGGGTAAGGTCCCTCATGACTGGGTATATGGACAAGTGTTAGCTTGGTAGAAGTATTGCACACGTGGGTGCACAAGTCCATTAACGAAGGAAGTACTTTGCTGGGCTTTAATTATTCAATCATGTCCTACCCATTTAATTGTTTTGCTGTGGTATAGAGGGGAATTGATTAATATATTGTCGGGATTAGGTCTGAATGAGTTTCTTCACTTTATTCAAGCACTGAACAGTGAAGTGAAGAGAACAATGAACAGTAATCTGCAAGAGTTTACTGTTCTCTTTTCAATATTTCAAAAGAAAAATATTCTCAAATTGCTGTACATGACCTTCGAGGGCAAAGGTTTTTTGGGAGGGGGGCATTGTTATATAATTGTAATATTGAGAGTTAGCTGCTGTTAGTTCATTAGAATTAGTTATATAGCTGTTGGGGATCTGTATTGCTATAAATACCTCTTTAGACTTTGGTATTCATTATGTTTTATGAGAAAAGGCCCAGCATTATTCAGTTTATCTCTATTGTCTCTAAATTCCCTCAATTCTTCTCTACCCCCTCCGTTCTTCCCTTTCTTCTCTCAATTCTCCTTAACTCTCTCTTGCCCGAATTATCCTACCACAACAGTAAAGCTAGCCAGAAATTTCATATACAGATCAATCCTCACATGAAAGAATAATTCATACATTAACTATGGGAGGGCTCTTTGCAGTGTATCCATGGTCAAATTTTATATGATCAGCAAGGGTCTCAACCTGCAGGAGTTTTGAAAGACTAGTGATCATGATACTATATGGTAAGACTGTAACAGCTGTTATTAGTAATTGCAAGTAGTCCAGTTCTTGGGGAGTAAAAGCTTGCAAGGATGAGATATCGAAAACCTGAGAACATAAATATAGGTAACAAAAATTAAGGTTTAGATCTCAATAAACTAATCAAGATTGGTGGTTTACAACATACTGACAGACTAAGCAGAATAACAGAAATAAATACCGAACAAAAATTAGATCAGCAAGCCACACAAGATCTCATTGACGTGTTGCCCAAGTGACAACATGAACTGGGTGAACTGTAAAAAGTTCTAGTTCAACAATTCAGCTGTAAAAAGTTCTAATTCAACAATTCAGCTTCAAAAAGCAGTCGGATGAATGCTTAGCACTTGTTAGTCATTAAAACAGACCCCCACCAAGTCAACTTTCAATAAAATGTTTGAGCAGGTACTTGAATTTAAGAGCAGGCAATGCTTAAGAGATAAATAAAGGCTAAAGTATACATTTAATCTTTTAACTTTATATTAAATTTTATTTTAATCTCTTAATTTTATAAAGTGTCTTTTCAATTTTTTAACTCTAGCACCATTAGTTTTACTATAAAAAATGTTTACATTGAACTTTTAAATATTGATAAAACATTCTCAAATATTGACATATTGAGTTTAATTTTTTTAAAATAACAGTGACTGGCACAAAAAAAAATAATTATTTGAAATTAACGATATTAAGGTTAAAAGATTAGAAAGATATTTTATAAAATTAAAAAATAAATTAAACACTTATATAAAGTTAGAGGACTAAAAGCATGCTTTCACCTATAAATAAAACAATGGCAATATTGACACTAAAAGTCTCTAATCCCAAAGATCACATCCTTTCATTGTTAAAGGAGCAGCATACTCAACATCACCGGACCAAATACACATTTTTGGTGAAACGAATAAAGTAAGATTATCTAGTAGCATATGATCTGATCAAACCCAGCTCTACATGCTTCCATTTGACGCATGATCCCAGTCTTGAGAGTAGCATCAGCCACCAAAAATATATACTCCTCCAAATTATTGACATTAAACTAAAATTTTGACAGGAGATGAAAACATTTTCACAAGAATAAAATTACTATTACTATTGCAAAATATAGTATGACTCAAAAGTTCAGCTGGCATACAATTTCATCTCCTGGTTTCAAGATGTACTCTGGGTAACCAGGAAGTGTAAAATCCAAGCAGAGATCTTCAATTGGGGCCTCACGAAAACGAAGGTTAGCAATTGTATCACTATGGCTACCACCAATAGATTCTACATAATGTTTTTTGGGAAACAAGGGCATTCAACTCAAGCAAAGTCTTTCCAAGCTCAGCATCAATGGAAAGCAGGTCATGTAATCTGTACGTATATTGAGGGAAATTAAGATGGAATTAATTCATCAAACAAGATGGTAAGGAACTCGAGAAGCTAAATTAACTAGAAATAGAAATCATTATCTATGAAGAAAACCTTTGATAAATTGATTAGAAAATTGTTGCAACATAAAGGAGAAGTATAACTCAAAAATTACAGATTTTTCAATACTTGATTACCTCTCACATATATACAGTTCTGATACCTGAAGCTATCTCTGTACAGGGTGTGCATAAAGGAACTTGTTATACAACCACTAGATATTTTAAGGACCTACAGAAGCTTCACCAGATTCATCTTCAGTTTCAGTTTCAGAACATTCGTCTTTTCTCATCATAAGTCTCATCTCTTGGCTAACCATCTCAGAAAGGTCCTGTCTGTTGGCCATTCTATAGGCATCTGTGATAGCCTTGAAAAGTGATTCACTCGGCTCGATTTCTCCATATTTTACTTGGCTGTATATCCGCTTCACACCTTCAACCATGCCAGCTTTTCCATAACATCTTACCAGATTAATATGTGTTACAAGGTCCGGTTCCACTTCCTCATCCTGCATTTTCATATATATATTGAATGCCTTGTCAACATCTCCAGCTGAACCGTAGCAATAGATGGCCACATTATAGACAAAAGAATCAAGAGCAGTCCCAGATTCTGTGAATGCTTGGGCAGATTCTTGTGCCAAAGCGTGCATACCCACCAGAGAGTATAAAGCAGTAATGGCTGCTTGTTGAGCATGAGGTTTTCCATCCTTGTAGGATGACTCTAATTGTGCTACTGCTTCAATTGGAAAGCCTCCCTTCTTCAACACAGTGAATAACACTTTGAAAGTTCCTTCATTTAGTGAAAACTTCCGGGATATCATCTGATGCAATAACTCACCGCAGTCACGAAGTTTCCCATTACTGGCATAGCAGACCAGTACCTTGTTATATGAAACACAGTCCTTGAGTAAACCCAACAGTTTCATCTCTTCTGCAATTTTAAAGGCATCATCAAGCATGCCCATGTTTTTATAAACATACATCATCGTCACATATGAAACACTGTCAGCCCAACCCTTTTCTCTCAAGTTCTGAAAAACCAGCTCGGCTTCAGATACCATGCCAAGATCTGCAAAGAGACCAATCATACTGTTGCATGCGACAATATCAAGACCACCTTCCAAATCCTTCATTCTCTCACAGATTGCTTTTGTTCCTTCCAAACTACCAATCTTACAATAAGCCTTCAGCAAGGATGTCAACACAATTAAATTTGCCGGGATTCCATACTCTTCCATCTTGTGAAAGTATTTAAGCGCCTCCTCAGGACTACCATATTCCGCAAATCCATTTATTAAAGATCCATACACAACTTCATTTGGTTTTATGCCAACTTGCAGCATTTCCTGGTATACACTGACAGCATCCAAGAGCTGGCCAAGGCGCGCATAGCATCCAATAACAGCTGAGAAGGTTTGACAAGATGGTTTCATTTTCATTCCCAGCATTTCAGTCAAAAGCTCCCTTGCTTGGTCCACTAAATCAGCACCAGATAACATTTGAATGATTGAATTATAAGTGCAATCATCAGGCCAAGTCCCCTGATTTCTCATTCCCTTGAAAAGAGAAATAGCTTTGTCATAAAGTTTTGCTGTGCCATATGCTTTGATCATGACATTGTATTCTGCAACATCCCTCCCCTGTCCTGCAAAGTCTCGTTTCCTGAAGAACATGTTCTCTGCTTCAGCCCAGAGTCCTTGTTCAGCAAAAATGTCCATAATTGCAACACATATCTTAGATGATGGCCCTCCATTTGCTTGACAATTATGAAGAAGGTCTTTTGCCTTACCAAATGCTCCTTCATTTATATACATCTTGATAATACCAGGAAGAGAATGCTCATCTAGAAAAACACGAGAATTTTTCATTTCATCCAATAAAGCTTCCACAGCTTGAACCATACTTTGCTCACATAATGCACCCAGAAGAGCTCTGTAAGTCACATCATCTGGGAAGAGTCCAGCCTCTCTGATCCTCCTATAACAACTGAGAGCTGCACCAATATTCCCCCCATTAACATATAAAGACAAAAAGATGTTATAAGTTTTTGTATCAGGTAATATACCCCTTTCTTCCATTTTACCAAGCAAAGATTCAGCTTCCAACAAATCACCATGACTTCCACAAATATAGATCATCGTATTAAAAGTGATTGTATCCATCGCCACCCCAGATTTTAACATATCAGCAAACACATCAGCAGCATCCTTTAGCCACCCTGCCTTGCCATACAAATCAATCAGGGTGTTGTAAGTGGAAGTGAGCCGAGGCTTTCCTGGAGACTTCTCGGTGTTTGATGATGCCGCAATATTGGAAGCAGGAATTCTCCCGCCTGTCTTGAAGAGTTCAGTAGAAAGGAAATGCTTAAAACTAAGAGGAATTGATCCAGATCCATTTACAGTATCAGTTAGAGAATCTTCTAAATCAGTAATATCTAATTCAATTCTCCCAGCACACCAACTCTTGTAGAATTTATCTGCTCTATCAAATTCTCCTGCATCCTTCAAGACCTTAACAACCGTGCTCATGGTAACCTCATCTGGGAAATATCCTCTCAGTCTCATGTGTTTAACCCACAAAAGGGCTTCTTTCACTAGACCTGCTTTACCATACACATCAACAAGCGTACTATAAGTGTTGTTGGTGGGCAAAACGCCACTTTTCGCCATTTCTACCCAGCAAAGCCTCAATTCATCCCATCTCTGAGCTTTTCCAAGAGCTCTAAGCACAACGTTATAGTGAATCACATTGGGGACATACTCTTTCTGAGACTTGAACCAGTCAAAAACCCGAATCACTCGTTCCCAGCTTCTCTGTTCTTTGAGAACAACAGTCTGCTCTTTTGGATTCAGATTCTCACCAAATGTATCAAGGGTACTTTCAACGTCCTCCCCGGCCTCCAATGACCGCAGAATTGAAGGCAATACACCTCCATATTTCTTCTTCTTCCTCCTACCAATAATGGAAGAAGAAGAGGCTGGTAAAGCTCGAATATTTGAATGAAGATGAAGGCAAGACTGCGACCACTTAACTTTAGGTGGCGGTAATTGAGATAATACCCTCTGAGATTTTGAGGAGCCATTGCTAATGAAGTTCGAATATAAAGAAGATGAATTTACACAAAGCATATCTACAGATGACATCGATTCTGGGTTCTGGAACAGATTCAGAAACACGCAAATGAATTGAAAGGAGGTGACAGATAGTTGCAGAGCAGACCTGAAAGAGATTGAGTGAAGGCGGGAGCGAGAGAAACAGATTCCGCTGGAGTTCAAAGGAAATACGGCACCACAACAATGAAGAATTTGATTCTGTCGAGGGCTATGTAGGCTGTTGGGGTCAGGCCCATTCTGGAGATTTATGTTTGGGCTGTAACCTGTAAGCCACTAACACGTCTCTCGTTCGGGGATACGTATGACATCATTGATGATTCTGAGTTCTCGCTAGGTTTGAAGCTAATTCTGTAACAAAAAAGACTATCGAAACGCAGCACCGTGAGAAATATTTATTCAAATATTACATCAAAAATCGTTCAGAATAAAAATGAGTTTGTGAGTGTGAAGAAATCATTCAGGCTAAAAATAATTTTATAATTAAAAATTATTTTTTTACTTAATAAAAAGTAAAAGCTTTTTATTGACATGATATTTTATTTTCCGTTAACTGTAATAAATGACCACTTATTATTATTAATGCTCATTTGACACTTAAAATGTTTGATAAAACATTTAAGTACATGCAATAGTATTAAAGACAGACTCAACAATGGATCCAATGTATTAATAGTGATATTGGTTATGTAGTAAGTTTTTTACCTTCTTTCACTAATACTATCCTTTTTCTTTATAAAAAAAAGTTATAATCTAATATTTTATTGTTTATTTTAGGCTGACATAACAAGGAAATTATATTAGCTAACGATTAATTCTCATTTAGAATGCTCTCATTGCATTAATTATTGAGATAGGATTACTCAACATCAATGCAACATTTTACTTGCAATTAGAAAATAACAATTTAACAAGGACATTTAGCATGCTCTGCCAATAATTGAGTTGCCTCTGCCACAAATTTTTAGAGAAAGATTGAACAAATGATGTAGTAGCTATTTGTCTATCCAACCACCAATTAAAAATGAAAATGCAGGGAAATAATAGCCTTAAAAATTTTGTCAATCTTATTACATGCTAGCCTATTATTATCATCACCCCCTTTCACCTCTCTCAATCCTATTCAACTCAAGTCTCGTTACATGTCACCCTTATCATCACTCTTTTTTAACTTACCCATTTCTACTCAAGGATACTTGTGAAAGAAGGTGAAAAACTTACTACATACATAGTATCACTATTAATACGTTGGATCCATTCGTTGGGTATGCCTTCAATACCGTTGCATGTAATCAGATATTCTATCAAACTCTTCAAGTGTTAGAGGATCATTACCAATAATAAGTGGTCATATATCCCATGCTTAAATGAATTGCACGGGAAAAGCAAAGCAAGAATGAAAAAGCAGAGATTATTGCAGCTGACAATGAATAAAATATCTTGTCAATAAAAAATGCTGAAATCGTTCACCTCTCATTAAATAAGAAAATAATTTTTGACTATAAAATTGTTTTTGGCCTGATGATTTTTCACAATCACAAACTTGTTTTCAGTCTGAACAATTTTCAAAGTACCATTTGGATAAATATTTTTCACAGTATAGCATTTTGATATTTTTTTTACTATTTACAATATACTGGTAAAGAAGCTCGAGAAAAACTAGTAATTTTTTTTAAATAAAGATTAAATTAAATTTTAGTATTGTCAAATAATTTAATCAAGGTATTATAAGTATATAATTTTTTATAAAATATGATAACTGAATAATTTAACTAGAATAATGATTTTTTAATTTAAAGTATGAATTTCGTAATTAAATAAATCAACATTAGGCATTTATTAGAAAGTTTAATAATAAGAATATAAAAAGTAAAATTTATGTATAATATTTTTAAAGCTATCAAACCTAAAACAATATTTTTGTACTGTTTTGAGTAAGGTACTGAAAACCTAACTAGTTAAGATGGTGGTTTAATAGTTAGTGATCCAACTAGGGGTCAATATAAAGTTAGACCGATCACAATTAAAATAATATAATTTAATTAAATATATAAAATGTATATGAAAGACCATAATATTTAAATAAAAGTAATTAATCCTTTAGTAAATGGAAAATGTATTCATAAAATCTTATGCATGTCTTATAGAAATAATAATTATAAATTTTTGACAATAATAAAACACAATAGCATTAAAATTGTTAATTAAAAAATTTATATTTAATTTAAGGTTCAATATTAAGAAGAAAAAAGGAAAAAACAAAGGGAAGAAAAAAATAATAAAATCTAAGTCAGGTCAACTCATTATCCACCGGGTTTGATTAATTGAAAGCTGGATCATAGGTGACAGGTTTTCTTACTCAACAAGACTGACTAAGTGACCATTCACAGGTATGTGAGTGAACTGGCCGAGTAGGTCCAAGTTTACAAACAATAAGTCTAAATTTTGACCAGGTTTGAAATTAGTTATCTCTTTCTTCTCTTGGGGAAAAACTAACAATTGCTTTTTTAAATAAAGATTAAATTAAATTTTAGTATTGTCAAAAAATTTAATTGAGATATGATAAGTACATAATTTTTAATAAAATATGATAACTGAATAATTTAACTAGAATGATGGTTTTTGAATTTAAAGTATGAATTTTTTAATTAAATAAATCAACATTAGGCAGTTATTGGAAAGTTTAATAATAAGAATATAAAAAGTAAAAAGTATGTATAATATTTTTAAAATTATTAAACTTAAAACAATATTTTTATACCATTTTACAATCCAGTCTTGAACTTGATTAATAATTTGAGATTTTCGTATTGCGTCCCTTTTTCAATTTCCTTTTCTAACCAAGCTGCCTTTTGTTTATCAAAAACTTCATCAGATATAATTTTTGACCTGTTATAAATGAAAATGTTAGTTGTCGTAAGCTACCATCAACCATAAAAATAAAATTAAAAATTAAGTTAAATTACAATTTATAAGGATGAAGAAACAATTGAACCGGATTAATGGACTTGAATTTAAAGTTTTTATTTAAAATGTTAAATTTTAAATCTCACATTTATAATTCATGTATTTAAAATATTTTATTTAAATAGTATAATTTTTTAAAAAAATATAAGAGATATGAGCTAAAATTCAAAACAAAAACGAAAAATTAAAAGTGACAAACTTACATTTATTCTTTAATTAATGAGAGACAAAAATAAGAGATGAGAGAAGAGGCGAGAGTAACAGAGACATCAACAACTAAAAAATTGAAGAAAATGAATGGATTGAAGTAATAGAAATTTCAAACAATTATTGTGTATATGAAATTCAAAATTGCAAAGAAGTTATAATATAATATTAACTTAATGAAATCCAAATCCATAAACTTATATTAATCTAATGAAATATTTGATTATTTAAATTATGATGTCTAAACACACCATTGTATAATGAGAGAATGATAGAGATGTCTCAAAAAAATTAATTAATTTAAGTCAGGTCACAAGTGTTAAATTTTAAAAATTTACAATTTAATCTCTCAATTTTACAACTCTATTGTAATGAATTTGCAACTTATATTTTAAATTTGAACAAAAAAAATTAGTTCTTTTATTTTTCAATCATGTTAAAATTTATAAAATAAATTGTAAATTCATTACAATATAGTTGTAAAATTAAAAAATATACTTATAAATTTTTAAAATTTAATACTTAAAACTTAACTTAAATTAATTGATTATTTTGGAATCTCTTTTTATCCTCCCAACTTCATGCATGGGCTTTGATTATTAATTTTGTCCCCATAATTTGAGGGTATGTGTTTTTCTTTGTTGGAAGGGCTTGAAATGAGTATGATTGACCCAAATTCATGGTTCTCGTGATAAGGCAGATTGGATATAGAAGAGTCTTATCAGAATAACAAGCATCTCTTTCGTCTTCCCCTAACTTTCACACTATTCGCAAATGTCGATGAGAAGCTCCCAAATACATCTGAGTCCGACGATCGATAATGCTCAGTTGTCATATAATCCTCCAAAAACCTAGTGTACCTTTCTGGAATTTGATCCCATTTTCCAGTGTTGTTGATTTTGACGGAGAGTCTCCTCGTTTGTTGCGACACACATGATTATCCACCCTAACGTTCCGATTGCTGAACATGGAGGACAGAAGAGGCGACCTATGAAGTTCACTAGCGATGTGTGAAGGTGGGTCAAGGTAAGGGGTGGTTGGTCTGCTGCAGCTGATTTTCTTTTAAAATTAAGGATAATTGAGTCATTTCTCTTCCAAAATTATTGTCATTCCAATCTAGACAAGGAGGTCCTAAGGGGATTGATTAATTCAATGTAGGTTCAAGTTTCAAACTTTAAAAATTTATAAATTTAGTTTTCAATTTTACAATTACATTCTAATGAATTTACAACTTGTGTCCCAAATTTTAATAAAAAAATAAATTTATTTATTTTTTAATCAAGTTAAAATCTAAAAAAAATTATAAATTTATTATAATAAAATTATAAAATTAAAAAGATAAATTTATAAATTCTTAAAGATTGAGATTTAAAGCTTGAGTTAAATTCAAGAATTTCTTTATCATTATCGCTTTATCTTTTTATCAAATTAAATTCCTTCCATGTCTTTTATTGAGATTCCCCCTAAGCTTTATGGCCTAGCTTCTCTATATCAATTACACCGTTACAGTATTTATTATCTGTCAACTTGCTAATATTACCCTTAATTCAAAACACGTATCTTTCCCATCTTCCGATCTATCTCTTCGAGTGTTCCTTCTTGTGTGCCGTCCCACTCCCACCGGCAATCGTTATTGTCCATCATCTTCGATCTACGGCCACTGGCTGCAGTCTCCAGCCATCGTCCAGCAAGGTCCATGCTGCCCATATCTGCTCTTCCTCCGGCGTCGTCTTCATCTTCTCCTCCTCTCCTCCTTCGATCTGTTCGAGTCTTATCCAGTGCCATTGTAAGCCTCTTGTAAGGCTTCTCTAGCAATTTTTTTGTTTTTTTTTTTTTTGGTTAGATCTGGAGATAACTCTTTTAATCTAATGGGTCATCTGCTTTGCGTACATTTTTGTTACCCAATCTGCATTCCTCCACCGTCTTTCATATGCATTCCTCCCTTAAGATCTGGTGTGTTTTATTTGGATATATTGTCGAGTAATATTTTCCATAGTCGTCTGTCTTTTTATTCTCTCATTTGGCTTGGTTACTCCCTAATGTCTTTCTCTTATTTCTATTCTATATTAAGTTGATCTTACATGTCAATACCCATTTAAGTGGTCTTTGAAACCATGTTTGTTATAAGTAACCCACTCATCTAGCCAAAAAATTTGACGTGCCCTCTGTTTAGATATCCCTTTCCTCAATGCCAACGGGTGCTTACCCTTTTGTTCTCTGCATTGAGAAAGCTTCAAAATAGGATAGAAACACAAGCACTTTGAAAGAGAAAGTAGATCCCTTTCTTACGTAACAAATACAAATTATAATTTGTTCTCTGATATTTGGCATTCATGGTGGATAAAGTTGAACATAATGGTCAGTTTAACTTATTCTAGTGGCCTGGGTATGTAAGATTTAAATGCAATTGTATACGCAAGTTTTAATTTGGTCAGCCCTTGGTGGGCTAGTTAAAGTGACAAACCCAGGTATATACCGTCAAAAGTAAGAATGGTCAATGGGATTGGATTTTCCTATGCTTGGTTTTTGGAGCAAGGGGCTGATATAAGATAAAGGGAGAATGACAAATAAGAATATTGTAAAAATATTAATTTTAAATTAAAAATTTTTAATATTAACATTTTTAAATTTCAGTACTACTTTTATCATGTTTTAGCATTAAATTTTTTAATTTAACATTAATATTCTTATAAGATGCTTACTTGTCATCCTTCTTAAGATAAATCTCATGACATTTTGACATTGATATAAGATGATTGATATTAATATAGTGTACGAAAATACTTGTCAAGATGAAAAGTGTATTGTACTTTGATAAAGGCATATACGTTAGGGGAAGGGAAGATCTAATAGAGTCAGGGAAAGGTTATCACAATCATGAATGTTTATCCTTAGTATCATTCATTGCATCTTCGTCAGACTTAGTTCATATTCATGATGTTAGTAAAAATTAATTTGTATATTATTAACTAAATTTTTAGTTATTATAAAACTGATGTTTAATATTCAAAAATTATATCTTTCTTTTTTATTAAATTTATTTGAACTTAGATATATTGATTTATTTTTTACATAAATTAAATTATTAATATTAATATAATTTATATTTCTATAATTAATCAAGTATAGAAGTTAAATAATAAATTTTACTTGTTAAATAAAGCTGAACATATTTAATAATATTATATATAACTTTATCAATATATTAATTTTCAAAAGAAATGTTTTTTTAAGTAATTTGTACATCTAAACTTAACTCCGACTAAATCATCCAAATATTTTTAATTTTATTAAAATTAAATTTTTTAAGACAATATTCAAAGATAATTATGTTATAACATACTTAAAATTAATTATATTAATTACTTTTTTTCATAATCAATTATATTCAATTAAAATTCAAACAGGCATTTAGACTTGTTTGACATGTGAAATTTTTTTCCTGTTAATAAAATGAAAAATGCATCTTAAAAATTGGGTTGGATGCATTTCACATTTTCTTTTTAAAAAATATCTCTCTGTGTATCAAATATTGCATTAGTGTTCTATTAGACAGCAAGTCATGCATAATTATGTTACCCACTTGCATTAGCTCATACCTAAAAATGTTGATGATAAGAGGGAATCTCTCCTTCTACATTAACAAAATTAAATCTATATTTAGCATTAACGCAAAATAACTTTATAAATATTTATTTATATTAGATGTTATACACGTGCTTCCCTATAACCCAAACCCCCTCTTGCGTTGACAGCGACACCAAGCAAGAGTTTGTAATTTTATTTATTACATTTGGAAAAAAAAAACGTGACTGATGATTACTTATTCAAAATGCATATGATCCCTCTTGAGTTTTATTTTTATGTCATGTGTGAATGTATATTTTTATTGTTGGATATGAATGTATTTTCAAAAAAAAAAAAAAACCAAGGATGACAGTAGCTTTAGGAAGAATCAATAAGGTTAGCTAGAAACAAGTCATGTTTTTGCAATCTGAGAGGTTACTTTATAATATGGGATTTAGAATTCATATGAGTAAAAAAAAAAAATTGCACCCAACTTTATATATTTTATATACTTAAAATATTTGTTTTTAATTAATTCAAGATGTGAATATTTCATATACTATTTAGTTTGCAACAAAGTCTTATTATTAATATCACTAACAAGTTAAAATTTATTTATTTTAATTTGAATGGACAAAAATATAAAGCATACAAAACTAAATGCCCAATACCCTATTGGGTAGTATGGAATTTGAAGTGAAAAAGTGAAAGTAGGATTAGAAAGTGGGAAATAGGTTATTTAGTGTAATGGATCTTGTTTTTCTAAAGTGTTCCATCAAAATTAATGAAACCCACTTCAACCTCTCTTTCACCTCTCTCACTTCCATTTTTATTATAAAAAAAAATTACATGCTGTCAAATGAGGCAAAAGTCTTTTCTTTTAAGTTATAAGTAAAATTAAAGATCCAACTAAATGATATGATTTGTTTTCTCAAACCATAATGCCAAACTCTTGGCATGTTTATAATATGTATTAATATATATATATATATATATATATACATATATATATATATATATATATGTATGTATGTATGTATATATATTAATGTTATGCTAATACATTATTATGTGCCCCACTGACATTATAGCGAGATTTAAAAATTTGTGCAGGTTGGGCCTATTCAAGCTCAAACCCAAACAAACCTAACTCTTTAAAAAACTTGAATAGCTTTTTCGAGTTCAGATGGCTCGAATACTCAACATTTATTTTTTTTAAATCATTTTTAATTAAATTGTTTACTTTAAAATTAATTATTTTATTATCAAAATTTTGATACTTAAATGATGTATAAGACTCAAATATATGGTACTTTAGTATAAAATGACCTAAAATTTAATTAATTAATTAATATTTATCATTTTTATATAATTTATAAAAATAAAAAAAATTATCCGTATATTCAGGCCAAACCCAAGCCCGATCCGATTTGGTTTGAATTTTTTCGGGCTTATTCAGGTTAGCCCGAATGGACCCGAATGTAAAAATATCATATTTTTTCTAAACTTGACCCTACCTTTTTTTAAAAAGATTAAAGTTAGTTTGTCAGACTTGGTTTAAATTATCGATCCTAATTAGAGCTACCTTCGTATAAAAACTATAATACTACTAGACATTACATAACCAAACACTTCACATGCTTGGTGTGTGCTATCACTACTGTGGTCAGTGACCAAAACTTGTTGACTTCAAAAAAAAAATACAAATTAAAATAAAATAATACCTGCGATTAGAGTATTATAAAATGGGGAGAAAAGTAAGCATCTCACGAAAAAATTAATACTACAGTTAAAAATTTTAACTATCAAAACATAGCAATGGTCTTACTCTTGTCATTCTTCCTAAATCATTATTTTTTAAAATATAATTTATTGAAGCAGTGATCTTACGTTATTATTTGGACAAAATTATTATTTAATATATATATATATATATATATATATTTAAAATTTACCGAAGCAGAGGCTGCTGGGTTGCACCCAACCATCCTTTGGTTCAGGGACAGTGCATGCTCATGCCCTCTGCTTCCTTAGATATCCCTTCCATCGTCCTTCTGCCTCTCTCCCTCATCCCCACTCTCTTTGTGCACATGTCTGTGATTCCTAAGCTCTTTGGACCCCACAGTTTTTTCTCGATTCTCAACTATCATCCACACCGGATCATTTCCTTTAATCGTTTTCCTCGCTTTTCGTTTTCTATCTCTTCGTCTTTTATTTGCGTTCTTCTCCCAACTTGCGTTGCTTTTAGACTATGAGGGATGGGCCAGGCGAGGCCGCTTTTGGATTTAGCTTTGGCGGGGATTCAGGCTTTCTAGGATTCCTTTCCATACATTGATCATCTCCTTCTCGTTTCTTCTCCTGGGTGCTTTCTGGGTTTTTCTCTCAGATTTCTCAATTCGAAATCTTTTGTTAGAATGTCAATTTGGATTTGAATATATTGGAGACACTGCTTGATGGGGTTTTGATTTTGTCCCTGATTCCAAATTCTCTTAAGGTAAATGGATTAATTAGCAATTCTGGTTTACTGCTGGGCACTTTTTCATTAAATGTTTTCGTTTTTATCGACTTGATCTTTGTTCTTCTGGGGATGTCTGCTGTTTTTTTTTTCTCTTATGCTTGTGGGCTCCGACTTCTGATAGACGGACTATGATTCCCAAGAATCACATCGGTGCCGATTTTTGTATTCTGGATTGCATTGGGTTTTGAATTGCTGAAGGATCCTTCATTTTTTCCCGAGTTTTCTTGTATATCAAACGCAGTGGAACTAACATGATAGAATTGAGACATCATATTTGATTTAGAATGGGAATGTTTGGTACTGCTAGCTGATCTTGATGATGCTTCTGTCTGTAATGTCTGGGTCATGCAGATTTTCATCCAAAACGGGAGACTGCTTTCAAAATTGGACTTTGGCTTCACAAGCTCAGTGGATCCCTCCATTGACTATGATCCCTTTGTTAGTTATGTTAAGAGCTCAAAACATCTTTATATGGAGGTGTTGTCTAATTGTAAGCTGCCAAACTTCTTCGGTACCACTTATAAGTCAATAACTTGCAAATGTATGTTTCTGGCGGTTACTCTTTTGTTTCTTAGAGCTCTTTTGCTTCCTCCGTGTTCCGCAAGCCACAACCCTGTAGACTCCCCCCCCCCCCCCCAAAAAAAAAAAACAAAAACAAAAATCCATTCCCACGCAAGGCTCACACACATACTCCACAATAGCATCCAATTAAAATAATGTCTTACATTACACACACACACATACATGAATTATATATATATATATATATATATTCTCTTTAGATTATAATATACAGTATTAGTAATTATTTTATTGTTCTAAAAAAGTTAGATAAATCTTAATCTTTTAAAATATTGTATATCTTTTTAATCATATTCTCATTAAATAATTTATATAAGTGTCTTAATAATGATAATAAAAATCTCCTTACATGTTTTTTTTTTTCAAAAAGAGTAATAAATGGTATAGGAGTATAGTTAAAAAAACAATTCAAAAAATTACCCTATGCCATGTATTTTGAACTAGACAAGGTTTTTAAAAGATATCTTATATTGTGGTTCAAAGATATACTTCCTTCACCCTTTATATATACTTCTCAACATTTTTCATGTAGATTTAGAAAAATTATTAGATTTTTTATTTTTGTATTTTTAAAAAAATGGAGCATCATTTGTTATCCTAACAGGGTATCTCATAATTTAGACCAGCTTTTATTTTTGGAAGGCACTTTATAATATAAGGCACCGGAGAGAGCATAAGTATATTATATGATTTTATTTTAAGTGTTTCCAAAATTTTCTAAAAAGTACATATAATATTATATAATTTGTCATATAATATTTTTAAATTATAAAATTAAATTTTTAAATTTATAATATATTTTTTGCTTTCCAAAAATTGGCCCCCTGAACTATGAAGGCTAGTTTCGCCACTGCTCCAGCCCTTGCCTTTGGTGGGATTGAATGGACCAGTCTTGTATATATCCCTAACCTTTCTTTGTCATCAAGTTCTGAATCTGGGATCAGGCAGGATAAGTTTTTGGAGGTCCCTCAGATTTTATGAGGATTAAACAACCAGAAGATAGCATTTGCCAGGGCTTGTCTTGCTGCAAGAATGCTGAATCGAACTCTATTGATGCCTAGCCTCAGTGCCTCCTTATTTTACAAAGAAATTGACCTTCTGCAACCCATTTCCTTTGACAAGGTTTTCAAATTTGAGAAGTTTAACGCACTCTACAGTGGTTTGTAAGGTTAGGTCGCTACTCTAATCTTCTAAATCAAACCCATGTGCTTGAAATGCAAAAGGGAAGTGGAAGGAAGTGGACATTGGGGGGGAGACATGGATCAATTGATACAGTATAGCAGAGACCCGTTTGATCAACATCAGGTAATTCGAATCGTGGGGAATTCCTGTGGCATGATCATTGGCCTGTGAAGGATAATGCAAGTGTTTTTGAGTGCTTGGTTTGGGTAGATGAGATTGCAAAGGAAGCAGGTAGGGTTGTGTCCAAGATTAAAACAATTGGAAAAGAAGTAAGAGGTGAAATTGATGGGTCTTTGTCACGACCTCTACCCTATGTAGCTGTCCACATGAGGATAGAGATAGCCTGGATGATTCACTGTAAAAAAGTAGAGCAAAGACTAAACACAAATCAAATCTGTAGTGGCAAAAAAGAGATTATGGAGAGAGTTGGGAAACTTAAGAACACTGTAGGCTTGGAGACTCCAGTGGTTATTTATCTTGCAATGGTTGATAAGCTTCCTAATGATTCATCCATTCTGGAAGGTTGGGAAGAAGGATTTATTCCTCATGAGAAGAAGAAACTTGGGGTTCATGGAATTTATAGGAAGTATTCGTATCCAATTCAGACTGCAATTGACTACGAAGTTCGCTTAAGGGCTGATATCTTTGTTGGAAACAGTTTCTCTACGTTTTCAAGCCTAATTGTTCTGGACAGAACACAGAAGATGATCAGAATGGGTGTATCTAGCAGTGGCATGCGTAAAATTTATCTAAGACGGCCTTCTTATGCCTATAGTATATCAGGAGAATCCAATGGTCCTGTGAAATGGATCACTGATATGTCTGATGCAAGTCTTCAAGCAGTCAACTATGGAACCAATCACTTATCTTGTTGACATGTACTATATCTCTGCAACTTTAAAATGTAGAGTAGATCAGCAACTATAAAGCACTGATAATTCAAATTACCTCACGTATCCGTATCAATATCGTGTTCGATATCGATACTCGCTGATATTTCTTCAATTTGTATCTTTAGAGTATTGAAATATTAATTTTTTTAATTTTAAAAAAATTTTAATTTTTGATACGTATCCGATACTTCTAAAGTACTAATTAATATTTTAAAGCAGATGCTTCAAGGCTATTTTTAAGAAATTAAATTTTATTAAATATTGCAATATTAATTTTTTTTTTGTTTCTGAAATATTTCTATGGTTTGCTATGAAAGTCAAAGAGTAGATCTTTCTAAAAAATATGTTTTAGATATGATAAAAGGATAAAAATTATATTTTTAACTATAAAAATATAAAAATATAATCTTTCAGCATATAAACTTTAAGCAGGGAACTATTAGCAGAGACTAGACAGTAAACAATTAGGTAGAAATAAAATAAAAGTATAATTAATTATTATATTTTGCTTGGTATTACTATAAAGAACTATATATGTATGCTAGGTTGGATATTTTTTAAATTAAAATTATATTTTTAATGTTTTTTTGATTTTTTATAAATACATTTACAAGTATGTATCGTATCCTATATTTTTAAATATGAAAGTATCGACATATTGGATATGTATTGTATTTAATATACATATCAATATTCATGTAACATATATTAGCAAAGGAAAAGTATTTGTAATCTTTGTTTATATTTATGCTTCCTTTGTATTCTCTTTTGGAAGAGGGTGGTATGACTCGTTAAGTTGAGGAAACTTTTCTTCTAGCTCTGTCCTTTTTTCTTTGATATAGAAAAAGTATATCAAATATTTTATATTCACAATAAAGAAGAATTTGACTATGTTTGAGATCAATATTTCATTTTTTCACTCAATTTATTTCCTTTCTTTATTTTGAAATATATTATCATGTTATATATAGAAGAGATCAGCTATGCACCAACCATCGGGTTTTCTTCCCCCGGTCGAAGCCAACCACCAGACTTTGTCTTGGATGGCTTTGCGATTTTTGGTTTTGTTTATTTTTGGATTAAATTCATGGATGTCCCCTAAATGGACAATAGAGCAGTGAGATTGGTACCAAACACGTGGGACCTACTTAGGGATGCAATCTCATCCATTTATTTTACCTGGGAAGATGGTTATCTAAGGGAAGTGGGGTCTGCTTCTGAGTTCTGACTGCTGTTTGCAATTGTTTTCTTTGGCAGTCACAGCCAGGCTTCAGTTTCAAGCTTTAAATATTTAACAACATTATTGTGTCTCTTCAATCATGTAGTAGCTGAAAGGTACCATTTTCTTTTTCTTCTTCTTTGTGCACACATACACCCACATACCATAAATCTTCTTCTTCACTTTGACTTCTGCCAAAAAATGGTTGCAGGAGGTTTATATACGCATGTGCATATTTCATTACAGCAGGAGGGTTGAACTTCAGATTTCTGGCTCAAGTATGCATATTTTGGAGAATTCATTTTCAGACAACTACTGGTCAGCAGCATTATTTATACAAATTTAAACTTAAATGTGTTTAAAGATAGAATGGCTGTCAGAAGTCCAAAGAAAGAGTTAATAGAATGGCTGTCAGAAGTTCAAAAAGAGAGTTGTGTACGTAAAATCTGAGGGTAGAAAGGTTTGGAAAATAGTTATGGCCAAAGAGAGAGCAGGGAAAGAGTGCAATTGAAGGTAAATTTGTATCACTGTGTGCTTATGGGAGAGTAGATGTATATTAACTGGAAGCAGCAAAAAGGTACAATTGAGTACTAACAGTCTTTGCTTTTAATAAAGTGGGGTCTTATGTCTTATGTTACCTGCACATGCATCTTCATCATCTTCCTCGACCTGGTGGCTCCGCTATAATGTTATTCCTCTTTATAACATAATATGTTGAACGTAAATCCACTCATAGACCTTGAAATCACAGTTCAAAGTACTCCCTTCTTCATTCACTTTGCCTTTTCTGTGGACAGGTCAATGTGCCTCAGGCTTAGATATTTTCCACTTCGTGTTTATCTTCAAGTCTTCATCTCAAGCTAGTTTGATGAAAAATATTAGTATTCACGCGTCTAGTTCTGTTCTGCTTGTGTATTTCATTATGTAGAGAGAGAGAAGGCAGTGGATCATGCAATGATTGTGAAGGTGGGGCCAGAAGCAGAAGCCGCAATCGTAGTTATGAAGTCACTGTCCTACAAGTAGAGAGGGTGGTTGTCATTCCCAGTTCACGGTTATTGTCATTTTCATTTGGCCCTGTCGTCCAGTACTCCAGTTTATTTTCTAAAATATTTAAAATTTATTTTAAAAGGTTGAATAATCAGAAATATAAAGATGTCCTCCTCGGTTAAATTTATTCCTGACATTCCTAGCTTGTGAATCAATTCTATTCTTCATTCTTAACATCAAATATTCTCACTTCTCACTATTATCTCTGCTTAAAAATAGTTGCTAATTAATAATAAAACAAAAAAAAAATGGAGCAACTATCAAATAAAAATCAAAGGACAACCAACTAGGCTACACTAACTTGTGGGAACTCTCATTCTAAGGGTCTGATTGGTTTTAAAGGGAGGAAAAGTGGGGAGAGATTTTAATATTATTATTTTTGGATGATAATATCATCTTGTTTGATTTAGGATTACTCAGAGAAATAATGATTTATGAATTACTCTACTTTTAGCCATGTTTTTGAACCAAATAAGGAAAGTTGAACAAACATCTTGCTTACAATTTCTAAATGCCTCCAACCAAGGAGAGAAACAAACAATTAATAAAATGGCATTATTTTGTTAGAAAAGATAAAAAAAAGAAAAGAAAAAGCAGAGAAACAAATGGTTGAAGATTCAATTCTCACTCTTGATAGGATGGAGCTAACTTAATTGAAGAATCTCCTTTTTGTATTCATGATCTCAAAGGAGCTCGTTGACTTGTAGTGCAAGACACTCTTTATTCGTTAAGGAAAAAAAAAACAAAGGAGAATGCTAAAATATTTAAAATTGTATATTTATTTCCAACAAAAGCGTGATAAGTGCATTTTAAACTTAATACTCAATAAGTTAAAAGTAATTGATAAAAAATTCCATTTATTTAAATTTCAATAAAAATAAATACAGCAATTAAGTGAGTTCAAATTTCTAAATGTTTTTCAATATCAAATATTCTTTCCAGTCTTATTCATAGGATATTTCTAACATTTTTATTAGAATAAAAAAAACTCAAACCTTGTTAATTTTGTCTAAAAATACAACAAGTTTTCAATTTTACTCATATTAAATATATATATATATATATTTAAAAAAATTTCTAACATTTAATAACATGCACAACATTTAATAGGGAAAAAAATAAAGGTTGAAACAATAATTATTTAGGTTCCCTATAAATATGATCCAAACAACCACTATCTCTTTGTTGTATAAGTAATACAGAGGAGTAGATCCTTGGTGGAGGGTACATTATTAACTGAGCTTCCATATATATGTTTATGTATCAGTTTTATTTATAGATTAATAAATATTCTGTAATGTTATCTTTTATTTAGAGTGTCATCAAATTTTATTAAGCTCGCTCAAACTACTAAACATAAGTTTGAGTTACATAAAATATGCTATGGTAGTTTATTTAAGTTTATTATCTATTGTTTTCCTGAACAATGACGTGTTTAGGACAAAATAGAATTGGGTCGAAACTTCTTAATAAACATTGGGCTAGTGCATGTTGTCCCATTATCAAAAGGAGGTTGTGAATGATTGATCCAAATTTTTTATATTGGATTTGAAGGGCTTGAGTTGGGGAAGAATTCTTCCAAAAATAAATAAACAATGATTTTCCACTCAAAAATAAGCAAAAGTTTTGCTTTGTAGAAAAAAATTAAAAAAATTAAAAATTTAATTGAAGTCAGACGAAGAAAAAGTCACGATACCAAACCAAAAAAAAAAATGATAAATTATATGGCATTATACAATTTCAATTTCATCTAATGGATAAAATTTATTGTTAGTTGTTGTTATATAAAATGTCAAAAGTTAGGTCAACCTCTTTTGCCTCGTATTCCTTTTTTTTCTAATAAAAAAATCATCACACTTACAGTTTCTTGACTCTATTAGTTCAACCAAACATCATGTGACAGATTTAAAGACTAGCACTTCTATTTTTATATGCTTCATATTATTATGGTTGCCATATTTCTACTCATTCTAGGTAACATTTTACCTAGTCGGAGAAGAGAGAGTGAAAATTCTAAATATGTGATAGGGTTGTTAAATTTAGTGTTTTTTTTTTTTTGTCAACAAGCGTTTATATATTGTATGATGATTCAAAGTTTGGTAATTTTTTGTGCATTTTTTAAAAAATCATACTTCATCATTACCATGCGAAGTAACCTCCCATGCGAAGCAAGCCACACAAAGTGATTATCATTACCATTCTTTTGACCACAAGTTATTATTATTACTAAAAAAACAACACTTCATTATGCATAAATTAGTTTTTGAAATTTCGATAACATGAGCTAATTCAAACTTCACCAGTTTCCGGTGAATTTTTAAGAAATTAAACCCTTGTCTTCGCCTAGGTAAGGAATAAATTAATAATGTAATAGTACATATTATATTTTATTTTATTTCAACTAGGAAAATGTGAGTAGGGTCAAAAAGTAAAGCTATAATACATTATTTTTGAACTCAACTGCTCTTGGACTCTCCCATGTGAGTAGTTTTACCTTATATGCCTTATTTTACGTTTTCCCCTGAGTTTATATATAGCAATTTTACATGTCGATAGATTTTTTATTTTAATTTATAAGCATCTGAATGACTTAATGGGTTGCTAATTCAACCTATTCGTTTTTTTGGATTTCATATAACTAATTTATACTTATTTTAACAATTTTTATTGACATTTTAATAAAAAACGATGATTTATACTGATAAATGTTGAACTAAATTAAGGCAATGCCCAACAATATAATCACTTTTTTTCCCCAATTGCGGTGTCATTCTATTGAAATGACTCATTTTTTAGACACATTAAATATAGACAATTCTTTCAACCAAGGCTCAAATTTTGGTTCACTTTGCTGTTAGATATTGACTCCTTCCATTAGGTCTAATATCAATAATTATAAATATTTTTAATTGGAGATAATTTATATATTTAGTCTTATATATTTAATATATTTGTTTTCAATTAAATCAATACATATATTTTTTTTAGATTATTTATTATATAATAAATTGTTAATATTGAAATCATTAAGTTTACATGTTGTGATTTGATTGGAGAAAAGTATACCAAGCATATAAAGTTAAATATATAAGTCTTACATTTTAAATTTATTGTTCCCCTCTTTTTATTATAAAGGTACCAAATATACAATATAAAGTCATGAATTCAAAGCATTAAAATATACCTAAGTACAAAAATTAAATAAAAAGGCTTTTGGACTTATAAAAAAAGAAAAACTAAATACAATTGTTAAGCAAATATCGAGATATGTTAATAAAGTTGTTGATTTTCTTGCCAAATAGACGCTTTCTTGTGTTAGCTTGTTTTCACCCTTTACTCATTCTTCCTCTTAAGTTAGTCTTATTCTTACAAGAAGACTTCAATACTATTATGCAGTATTTTATTTTCCCTTGTTATAAAAAGAAAAAATAAATTCAAAGAAGAAGAGATCTTGTTTTCCTCCTTTTTAATATATATGCAAAATCACGCATTTAACTACTTATGGTTTTTTTGGAGTGTTTTTTTTGTTGGCTTTGGTATTAATGTGTGTCTTATTTTTGGTGATTAATAAATTGGGTCTTTTTCTGGCCAAAAAAGAAAAAACTACTTATAGTTTTTTTTAAATATTTTGTTCGACAATTAAGCATATTTTTCAGATAAAATTAAAATATGCATAACTTTCATAAACTTATCTTGTATAGATAATCCCTTTAATCTTAACAAATAATCCTTTAAATTTTTATATTCATGCAAATAATTCCTTTACTACTAATTTTGCTCACTAAATTATTAAATAATCTAATTATCGATCTTTTTTCCAACAGCTAATAATTGATATAGAAACACTTATATTATTAAATCTAATTATCTAATATCTAATAATTAAACTAATGTAAGGAATTTTTTTTGCCAATAAAGTACTGTAAGGAATTATATTTTGCTCTTTGACGACAGAATGTTTGGAACTGTAACCGAGGGACATCAGGCGGGGACAATGCTTGTAATGCGCTATGCTTACATATTGTCACGCCATTAACGTCGTCTGTCAGTGGTGATTCCTCATCTTCATCTTTTTCATTATTTTCTTTTGGCAGTATCTTAATCTCAATTTTCTAAGAAAGGAAGGGAATAGGCAGATTGTTGTCTATGGATTAGGGTTTTATTCTTTTGCAGTGTCGATAGCTTCGGAGAATATTAAGATTCGCTTCCAATTTCCAACCAGATACTGGGTAAGTTACAATGATTTCAAACCTTCACTTAGTTATATATCGTCTTATATGAAGTTAACGACGTTTATGTGGCTGATTTTTATTAGTTTCCTTCCCCAAAAATTTGTGCGTTTTGGGTTTCAGGGTCTCGTCTCTTGCCCCTTTTGCGTAAAAAATTCGTTTTTGGGTAGGAGGGTGGGATTCGAATCGCATTGTGTCAAATTTGATTGTTAATTTAGGATTTTTTTTTTGTTTTTTGGATTCAGTAATGACAGCTAAAGGGTCCTTTCTTACGCGAAACTCCTTTAATTTTCATTGAATTTGTACTGCAGGCTCCGTGTTTGAACAAAGTCGTTGGCGGGTCTCCGAGGGTTGACTGGACATTTTCTGATATTGGCGAGTTTATCAGTTTCCTTAGATCCATACGTCGGTGTATTTTGCTTAGATTTTGTTATAATTACTGTTTAAAGACTCTTACTTCGAAGACTCTGGTAATTTTTTGGGGGAATAATGGAGGATCACGCGGGTTTAGGAGGTGGAGTATCTGTTAACATCGGAAGGGAAGAAGAAGAAGATGAATTTTGCAGTTGTTGTGAAGAAGAAGAAGAATTTTTGAAAGAATCTGAGCAGCCAGCGGTGGAAGAGTTGAAGGAGGACTTTGACGAATCTTCAGTGAAAATGTTCTTTAAGGGATTGTCTATAGCTGGGGTTGAAAATTCCAGTTCTGGATATTCTGGAATTGGAGTCTTCATGGAAAGACCATCCGGTCTTCCAGCTATCCGTGTGCAGAAAAAGCTCGACTTTTATGCAGAAAACCTATTAGCTGAATACTTGGCTCTCATCGATGGCTTGCTGGAAGCTATGCGGAATAACGTCCACCGGGTTTACGCTTTTACAGATTCTGAGTTATTGTACGATCAGGTTAGAAAATCCAAATATAGAACAACATTTCCTCATTTTACAACTTCTGCATAAATTGATGAACATCCAGGTGAATATAGGGTGTCAAGATTCAGTTGCACTAACATTTTTTGTAGTCTTTAGGTAGGTGTGCCTTTTGAAGCACTTTCTCGTTTTGGTTTACCTCCATATGTTCAGGCGTGTTTGGTTATATGTTGCATATAATGTTGCCATGCCTGACTTCTGAGTGTCCACACTCTTTTTGTATCTTGTCCCCTTTTGTTTTTGTCCCAGTTTTTGCTTGATCAGCATGCACCATGTAGAAAGATTTTAGGTTTCTGTATCTGCATCCCTTATATCGTTTGGTATAAACAAAGTCCTTGGTTTCTATAATAGGGGTTGACTTTGCTTACTTATCTTGCGTATATCAGCCTCCGAGGACACAATGGGAATACTAGCTGACAAAGAAGAACTGTTTAAACCTGCATTGTAACTGCTTTTCATAAATTGGGTTTAAGAATACAGAGACTAGAGTTACTTTGATGTTTGCCGCTAGTCTTTAATAATTCATCTGATGTTTGTATTTATGTTTCTTTTTCCAAATCTTCTGTTTTTTTTTTAACCATTCTTATTATGGGAAAAACAATCTTGGACAGATAACGTTTGAGAAGAATCTTGAGATGCCACTTTTGATAGCACTGAGAGAAAGGGTTCTGGATCATGCCAATAATTTTGAATCATTTGTTCTTAATCTTGTTCCTAGCATTGATCTTGAGAAACCGCTGCAATTAGCTAAAGTCGCTATTGGCCTTGTCTCTCTTCCTATAGATGGTGGGAAAGTGCTCGAAAGCTGTTCTATTTGTTGTGAGGACAAGCCATTGCCAATAATGATCACCATGAAATGTTCACACAAGTTTTGTTCACATTGTTTGAGGGCTTATGTTGATGGAAAGGTACAGTCTTGTCAAGTCCCCATAAGATGTCCTCAACCAAGATGCAAATATTACATCTCTACTGCAGAATGCAGGTCTTTTCTTCCATTTACCTCTTTTGAATCTTTGGAGAAAGCCCTTGCAGAAGCAAATGTTTCAGATAGAATTTACTGCCCGTTTCCAAATTGTTCTGTTCTCCTTGATCCTCGTGAATGTTTATCAGCCAGGGCTAGTTCGTCTAGCCAATCAGACAATTCTTGTGTTGAATGTCCTGTTTGTCAGAGGTTTATATGTGTGGACTGTGAGGTTCCTTGGCATTCTTCTATGAGCTGTGACGATTACCAGAATTTACCAGAGGAGGAGCGAGATGCTTCTGACATTACCTTGCATCGCCTAGCTCAAAATAAACGATGGAAGCGTTGTCAGCAGTGTCGTCGGATGATTGAGCTTACTCAAGGCTGTTATCATATGACCTGCTGGTAAGATATTCAACTGCTATTTGGTTTTAAAAAGGAATTAGACATTTCGTTTAGTAACTTATTAATTGCACACATCAAGCATGCATCTGAAATCTGTTGTGGGTTTAGGCAATAAAAAGTTTATTTTTAAAGCGTAAGTGGGTAATTTATGCAAGTTTACTCATAGAAGTGAGAGATCTGCTTAATTTATGCAAGTTTTGGATTTCTCTTTTTGTTTGTGGTGTCACTTTGCCCGTTCTGGGTAGATTGTGTGTAAAGTCCTTGTCTTTTTGAAATATATTTTATGCAAGAGTACTTCTTGAAGATGTTAATTGAAACTTATGTTTCATTTTGAACCATTGAGATTTGAATATAACGAGTTCTTGCGCTAACTATATAATGATCCTGACTTGTAATGTTTATAATTTAAAGGAGGCAATCTTAATTTTCAGTTCTTAAGCCTGTCTGTGTGAGAGATTGTTTGCCAGAGGGTGTCATCTGGTTTTATCTCCATTCAAAAAATGAGCCCATTAATTTACTCCTTAAACCACCCTGCAGTTCTAATTTGGGTTTGGTCTGCTCGTTTGGCAATTGAGCAAGATTCCATGTTATTGATTGATATTAAGATCTGGGTAAATTGTTCTAAATTCTAAAGCCAATGTGGTTGTAAATTTTTCTACATGAAATGTAAAGAAACTCTTATGAAGTTTGTTTCTTTGGGGGCATTAATAATGATGAAAGGGATCAATTCACTTAGATTAGGGTAAATTCTTGTTGCCCCCCCCCCCCAAAAAAAAAAGAAAAAGAGGACAAAAGGAAACCGCTAATCTTATCTTGGAGAAAGAGGACTTCGCACTCGTACTTGGATATAATCATGCCTTGCCCTTTTGGAAGCAGTGGCCATATAATGGTGGGATTTCAGTTCAGCCTGTTCCCCTGCAGTCTTTTAATGACCAATCTGTTCCTTGAATCCTCTGCTGCTTGCTCCTGTCAGTTGCAGTATCTCCTGAGTTTGTTGCAAAGTTGTCTTAATTACACACCAGGGCATAGGGGAGGTCTTTAGCAGGTTGTTAAACTGAATCATAATCTCTGGGGAGGCACCTATCGGTGATGAAGGTGTTTTAACGTTTTACTGAAACATTGTATGCATAAACTATCTCTTAGATATAGGGACAATGTGTTTGAGAAGTCTGGTGCTTTTAAAATATATGTACCCTGGAAATTTTTTTAGTTATCTTAAAGTATATGGAACACTATTGCAAACTGAAAATTGGATCGGACTTGTATTACATTCTGAGATAAATGTTGAAAGTTGATGGATGTTGCCTTTTTATGAATTTAACATGGATTAAAAATTCCTGGGTCGTTCTGTATTGTATTCCATTTCTCTCCTAGTGATTTCTTTCACGGAGAAAAAAACATTGGGAATTATTTTTGTCAAAAATGATCAGGGAGGCATGAAAATCTTTCAATGCAAAGGCACAGGTAGAAGATGATCTACTATGATATAGTTGATAAGAGATAGGTCCTATTTGTCCGAGAATAGGAATTCTAAGGAGGAACTTGATTATGAAAAATGGGGCAGCCAAATGAAAAATGCTCCTTTTACTTTGCACCATAATGTATGCTGTTGGGAAATTAAGATGGCCAAGAATTTTGAACTTCGATTGTACCTTTTTTCACCTGTTTTGCAACTTTTTTTTTATTTTTTTTATTTTTAATCTATGCATGCCCTGCTGTCTTTCATTTCAGGTGTGGTCATGAGTTCTGCTATTCTTGTGGAGCAGAATACAGGGATGGCCAACAGACTTGTCAGTGTGTGTTTTGGGATGAAGACAACTCTGAAGACTCAGTGACTCACTCTCTTCAAGAATCAGAACAATGGGCATGGGAGACTTTCAATTCTCTCCCCATGGTCATGGATGCATACTCGGACCAAGAACGTTCACAGCTTGCACTTATACAACGATTCCTTGCTGGTGGTTTCAGTCTGAGTGACCATCATCCTTACCAATCCCCTCCCCATTGGACAGACTCCTATGTTGATGCCATGAAGGATCTACATCAGCTTCCGTGGCTCGAGCGATTTGTCTCTGTGATAAGTGATAACTATTATGAAGACTATATTCAATAAAACTACACTAGCATCTTAGACTTCTCAATCGACTGAATGGGAAAATTGTCAAATAGTCACCCCACCTCTCTTGACAGCGTCTCTTAATCCGACGAGGGGGTTGGGTTCGTAATGGTGAGTGTGATTGTTTACTGCCCATGTGGAATTATTTTCACTTAGAAATACCTTAAATACATGCTTTTAGGCTTAATAGAGTCTGCACTTGGATTTCTTTAGCCAGTGACATATAAGCACATTGTTTTGTATGGTTCAACACCGCCATCAATTGTTTGGGTCATTTGCACTGCCGGTTTTGGGAGCCAAGACTAGATTGGGAAACATAATTGATGTGGAGGATCAAATTGAGAAAGACCTTGCTGTGGAGAAAAAATAATTTGCTCAGCAACCCCGAGGTAGATAGAGTTTCTCGCTCTATAGAAGAAATAGTGATTCACATTTCTTTCATGTTACTTCTGTATGTCTCCCCAAAATGTCTGTCCTTGGATGTTACATGGTGAAGACCTTTCCATGATAATTCTCTTTATGGCGAGCGAAAGAAAGAAAGAATAGGATAACTGAATGTGAAATCCAGTGATTTGTTTCTGTTGCTTATTTGAAATAGATGCATGGCATTTTATTTGAGCGTGTCATTATTAGTTGTTGGGTTCTTAAAAGCTGCTCTGATATAAGCTGTCTCTTTTTCCATTTTTTTAAATAAATACATTCGATTTTTAGTTTAATCAATGCTGCATGATTTTGAAAAATGTATGGTATTTGAGTAACTTCTTTTGGAAAACATGATTTTGGGACGACGCAGAATAATGACTCTTGACATGAAACCTGTGTAGTTTATGTTCTTAGTTTATTTATTATAAATCTAGTCATTTCATTTTCAACATCTTTAATCTTTGGCAAATATAGAAAATCAGACTTGAAAATTATTCAATGTTCACATACAATTTCGAGAATCCATTGATGTCAGACAATTGTCATTGTTTTGGAGCCATCCATCTGCATCTTGAACTGTTTTGTGGTGGGTGTGTGTGTGTATATATATATATTTTAATTAAAGGGGTAGGGACTAACTGTTTGAAGTTATTGGTGGGATCATACCCGCAACCTACTATTTACTTAAGGGTTTATATGCGCCATTGGCATTCTCTGATCTTGCAAGTTATGGTCATAGCTATTTCAAGCTCCTATGAAAAAGTGGGCCCAAGTCCAATGATGCAATTAAGTCATTTGGAAAAGGCCCAAAATGAAAATGAACTCTGGCCCGTCAGACTCACTCCAACCCACAAGATTATTTAAAAAGGTAAAATCGTCTAAAATAATAAACGCTTGGCACTTCAACTTGGATTGATTTTTTCAACAAAGTAATAAATATCTAAATTTATTCATAACGTATTCAGTTGAAATAATAGATAAAAGTATTAAAATTGAAATTGTAGAAACGTAAAATAAATCTGAGCCCATCAACAACCAAGGTTGAGTTAAAGTTGGGTTCAAAAATCTTGAACCTGAAAAATTGTCAAAAGATTAAATTAAATCTCTGTAATTACAGGCTTATCAACTTCAAAGAGCAAAAAGTTAGGGAAATGAGGGGGGAGACAAAAGATACATACAATAGAAAATTAAATATGAATTCTTTATATTAGAGTTTGAAAAATAAATGACACTAAAACTTATGAGAAGTTTGATAAATTGAAAAGCACAGTATTGAAAATTGAATCAATTTGCTCGGTTGAACCAATGATTTGATTGATTTAATTAAATGCTTTATTTATAACTGGTCTAATAACTATTGAATTGCAGTTTTGATTGTTAATCCTTGAACTAGTTGCTTACTTGCTTGATGATCGATTTGATATCTAGCATCTTGTATGTCTTGTTAAAAATGTGAGTTAAGCAGCCTCTCACACTGACACATTGTTGCGTGAGAGTTGTTGGTTTATGGAGGACATGTGAGCCAGTGAAGTGGTTTTGGTCGGTTTGAAGTGGAAGGATATAAAAGCATGTATCAAAATGGGATGGGCGCACAAAAACGTGGTGCACAACTATATCCACCCATGAAAAATTAGATACAAGTCCTGGGCAATGAATTACACTTTTCATGACTCGAAGAGTGTAATATACATTTGCACTATATGCAATAATGAATTGATGATGCTGATATACTGATTTGGTTTGGTGGGTTTCCAAAGGAAAAGGACTTTACTACTACTACTACTAATAATAATAATAATAATAGGGATAGTAGTGGAGGCCACCAATTTGGTGGGTGGTATGTTAAACTTATAATTCTTTTAGTAAGGGTAAGATTAGAGTGAGTGTATTGTCTATTTTTAATCAGTCACTACCTCAATCAAAGCTCATGTCTCTTCTTTCCTTCTTCACCTTGTCTCATCTCTCGTGTGTCAGTCTTTGCTTATTACATGCTCTATTGTGCTCTACTTCTTCTATCCTATTTTGCAAGACAATTTTAATTTAGATAAAATCATGCATATTGATAAAGTTCATTAAATACATTTTACAATTTATTTTAATTTCTAAAATAAAAACATAAATTTTTAAAAATACCCATCATTTAAAGAGAGAAATAATATGTAATAAAAAGAGAAGGGTAATATTGAAAAAGTATATTTAATGAAACTATATTTTTTTTATCAAATTGTCTTATATTTTGAAACATAAAATCAACTCCAAAATTGTCATAGACAACAGAGGGAGCATTTTGTAACAAAGTGTATAAGATTAGAAAAGGTAAGAGTAAACTAGATGCATAAGTTTAAGGGGTAAATAAAAAAAATAGAGAAATAGCAAAAGGAAGCATGTGATGATGAGTAGGAGAATTGAATTGGATGGTTAGTAATACATGAGAAAAGAGTGTCTTTATCCTCTTTTGCAAAAGAAAGGCCAGATATTGGTGGTGGAGGTGGTGGAGGACTCAACCCAATTTGAATCAAAAGCTAAATTGAATTCCCAAAGGATAATAAAGCAAAGCAATATTATTATTAGGAAACATTTGAATCATTCCACTCCCATTTTGAAACACAAGTACTTCCCATAACTCATGCCTTCCTTTTTTTTTTTTTTTATCAATCACACAACACGCGTCTCTTGCTTCACTACCCACCTTGTTTTTCTTTCTATATCACCAAGCAATATTTATTAAGATAATACTATTAATTAATATCTTAATTGATGTGGGCCATTGAACCCCATATATATAAATATATATATAGCAATCATGGAACTCTTGACCAAACAAAAACCCTATTAACATAGTGGGGTTGGCATCAGTATCTGAGGTGACCTTCAATCCATTCCCAAAACGACTATATTCTTACTTTTTTTTTATTTTAAATTTGTGGAATTAAAGTGGGTTGGGCATTTGGCATTCCTTAACACAATTCAATTAGTTACAGTATAAACATGATTAGCCATTCAAATTAATAGTTCCCACCACTCTTGAAACATTGTGCAAACAATATATAGATCAAAATATACTTTTGATTTTTTATCTTTGTATAAGATTTTAGTTTAGTTCTTTCATTTTATAAAGTATTTTTTTATTTTTTAAATTTTAATACAATTAATTTCATTACTAAAGATAAATTTCAAGAAAACATTATCAAATGCTAACTTATTAAGTTTAATTTAAAAAAAATAAAAAATGAGATAGGATTAAAATATCGTCATTTGAGAAATAAGTTAAATGACGCAAACTTAAGGGGTAAGGATAAGAATGCGGCATGTTTTGAGAGAAACATGCTGATCTTATCTTTACTTCAGGGGCAAGAAAAGATGCTGATTGCTGCATGACATGCATAAATGTTTATTTGTTATTTGTTCAGTACTATTCAGTTTTAATTAAATTTTGAGTAAATTAACTCAATGATATCAAAAAATACAGTTCTTATAAATTATGGATAAAATTTTTGAATATTTTAAAATATGAGTCATTCATAAAATAATTAGATGTGATTTTTTTTATCCTTAGAATAGATATATTATTAAAACACAATATATCTACTATAATTAATTTTTAACTGATTGAATCATCCATTCACAATCATTCTTTCATCCCAGAGGAGGAAAGTCTCATATGCCATTGCTTTTCTTCTCTGTTTTTTCCAAGTATATACGAAGCTAAGATTTAACATTGAAGACCAAACCCCATCATCAAATTCCTCATTTCACATTGCATAGTTTAATATTCAAATTCAAGTTGTCCTGTATTTTGTTTTTTGGAAGTTGAAGAGTATTATTTATCATCAAATTTTCATCATCTTCATTTATCTGGGTAAAATTTTCACTAAATCAATAAGTCATTTATTCATAATATATATTTATCATGAAATTTATTTGAATTACTACCAAAAAACACATATTATGCTCTTATTGTTCATGATTTTTTATTTTATTATTTTAAGTATTTGATTTTTTGTGATAAGCTAAGATGTCTAGAATGTTTTATAAACCTAGTTTGATCTATTTTGAGCAAGTAATTATGTTATTTTTGTGTTTTTGATTTACAATAATATATTAGTGATATACTATTGTCTATCACTAATAAACCATATCAATGATAACTTATAAACACTATTTAATCTTATAGATATAGGGATGCTTAACCTCATCATTTTTTATGAGAGAAAATGAGATTTGAACAACCATTTTATGGATAGTTCATACCTTGAAGTGCTTGTAGGAGATACAATTTCATATCTTAATGTCATGAAAATTGTGTACAAGAAATTGCAGTTGAATGCAAATCATGAGGTTAAATTGATTGTTTCTTTTGACATTGAGACTTCAACATATATAGCATTTTAGAGGTCAAAAATGACAATTATTTGATATGATATTTTAATTCATTGAGAAATTCCAATCTCTTTAACTTTTTGTTAATTGTCTCTATTTTCAATGAATTTTTATCCATACGAGAAGTGTTTGAAACTTTTCATGAAGGAGCTAGTTCCTTATTTTTATGTTCTTCTACATTTACTAATAGTAAGTATTGTAGTGGAGTTGATGAGCTTTTGCAAATGGACCATATTAAGGAGGGAGATGTGTTCTTTAGTAAATTGAATGTTTAAAAAGTTTTTACAACTCTTCACTATAAAGAGAAATTTTAAATACAAAACTCTCAAATCAAATGACCAAAGGCTTATTGTCACTTATAGTGTTGATGGTTGTAACTGATAGGTGAGGACTCAATGATTTCTTCTACTTGAGTTTGGGTCATTAGATGGTATGTTAGAGACCATTCTTGTGCTGTTGATGTCATGTGTGGTGATCATAGGCAAGCAACAAGTCTTATCATCAGTGAATGTGTGAAATGAAAATTTTCCACAAGCATTTCAAGGTATGAACTATCCACATAGTGGTTGTTCGAATCTCATTTTCTATCAAAAGAAATGACAAGATTAAGCATCTTTATATCTATAAGATAAAATAGTGTTGATAAGTTTGTATTGATATGACTTATATATTAATGACGTACAATAGTATATCATTGATATACTATTATAGATCAATATAACTAGATAATCAAATATAAATTTGTTTATTATTGATATACAGTCGTATATCAATTATATAGTATCGCATATTAGTAAAACGAAAAATGCATAATCATTTACCTAAAACGGATTAAATACAGTCTGTAAAAAATTTTGTAGTTCTATTTCCCTACCGGCATGCTCTATTCTATTAAGTACTATTGATGTTTCTCGCCTAGCATTTGTCCCTCACCATGTGATTGTGGCTCACTTACATTGCTCTACTTCTATCTTCAAGTTTGATCTAGTTGTTTCTTGCGTTGTGATTGTAGCTTACGTTTGTCTCTCTCGTTTGCCTGCTTTCTCACATTTTGAGTCTATTTTGGTATTTGTAAAAAGCACAGTGTTATAATTTTAAAAGGATAGTTTTGTAAATTATATATCAATTAAATATTAAAAAGGCCTTTTTTGAAATTTAAAAAAGTATAGGCTATTTCTTTTATTTAATCTCATGATATGAGCTATATGTACAAAAGCTCCTTAAATTAAAATTTAAATTGTGTACCAAAATTTATTTTAGCAGTGAGTTAATATGTTTGACCAAGTTTAACCGACAGTAATACTTATAAATCTGTGCGCGGTTCTTTTACTATCCAAAATGAATGGAGTTATGTGCACCTACATGGAATTTTGATGAATCCTCAAATGTGAATGTATGTGTACTCCTTTTGTTCTTATCTATAAGATGGAGATAGAAGAATTTTATTGATCATATTTATAAGTCATATTATTTATTTTTTTTATCATAATTGTAATCATTTACCCTTCATTAAACATTGGTGATATACAGTATATTTGTAAATAATATGTATATTTAATAGGAATAAATTTTTAAATTTATCAAATTTTTAGACAAAATTAATAAGTTTTAAATTTTTTTAAATTTCAGTTAAACATGTTGGAAGTGACTTATAAATAGGATCAGATGAGGATATAATGAACGATTCCTTAAACATAGGCATTTCCTCCAATTCTTATTATAAGTCACCTCCGATAAACCCATGAAACTAAGGAAAAATAATTAAGTTATTAATTTTATATAAAAATAAAATAAACTTCTAATTTTACTATGTACTATTTAAGTAAAAAAAATTAAATTTATATTATAGTCTTTCTTTTAATTAATGGGTTTAAATAGATAATATTAAAAAAATATGATTAATATATCATAATATATCTTATATTAAAGATTAAAAAATATTTTTAGAAGGTGTCCGTCGTAAAAGCTGAGAATATATAATTTGGTTGTTATAAACTTGGTGTGTCTGTGGGGGGGGGGGGGGTATTGGAAGTTACAATTGATGAAATCAATCGGCAGATACCAACTTGTTGGAAACGTATGAGCAATGCGGAAGTTTGTTAAAGTTCATTGAATAAATTAATGCAAATGAGTTAGAATAATTGTACGTGAAGAAAATTAATTAGGTGAAATATAATTGCGATAATGAAGAAGCGAACACAAACATGTATACTCCCTCCGTGCCTAGAGATTGATGAATTTCGTTGTCAAATCTATAAAATAATTTTTATTATAAATTTTTTCTTTTATCCCTTATTTGTTTTAAAAAATTTTACTCCTAACTTTATTCTTTTTAACAATAAAGAGAAATATACTTACAAATATGTCTAACACTAGATTCAAGCATGAGATTTATTCCAAGTGAGAGACGTGATGTTATTACGATGACAACTAACGACTGACTTTCTTTTTATGATTCAATTTTCATTAAATGTTGATGAAAAAGAATATTATTAAAATGTGTATTTAATAAAAAACAAAATTAAGAACTCGTTAAAATTTTAAATATAATTAAGGAGTTATAAGTTTTAGATGAAAAGTGATTTAGATAGAATTAGTAACGGATGAAGTATATACTTTGGATGGAACAATGGGGATTCAAGTAGTGTGTTGGAGAAAAGTAAGAATGCTTGAAGAGCAATTAATGGATGCAAGTTAAGTAGCATCCACAGACCTCCCTTTCATTTGCACACATCCATTTTTATGAATTTCACAATTATTTTGGAGAGTTAATGGGAAGAGGGAATTAGAGAACAATAATATTATCCAACTCCTCATATTTCATGTCCCCACCATCTGCATCCAACCATTTCTACGGTCTACCCCTCCTCTCCATGCCCACCCACTAATTAATCAACCTTATGTCACTCTTTACTCTCTCACTAATTTCTGTCTCTTCTTTTTAGTTAAACAAGTTAAATTATCATCCAATTCATATCCCACCAAAGGAAAAAAAAAAAAAAAAGACAGAACAACATGGTATATCAATGAAAGAATTTTCAAGTTGTTTTTTTTTTATTTTTTTTCTAAATCTGTTCTTTGAACAGGTAAAAGGATAAAAATTAAAAAAAAAAACTACTTTCTGCCGGTCTAAGAAGAAAACTAAAAAGGAAAAAAATTGTTAAGAGAAATTAACATGAACGGTGGTGTTCATGCCGGAATTGCATACCGGACAGTTCCGAACTGTGGACCCACACATTGTACACAGACACAGATGCCTACATGGCAGCAACAGCACTATCGATTCCCTCAGCCCGCACTTCTTACACATCATTCCGGCCGAAGTCGCCGCCGCCGCCGCATTAGTGCACCGTCCTTCATCGTCGTCTTCGTCGGTGCTTCCGCAGCTTGACTCGGCGTCGTCTGCCTGGGGGCCGGTGCCACCGTAGGATTGGCGCTCCTCGCCGACGTGAGCGAGAATTTGTTCCAGATTGCTGCGCAGGGAATTTGCGGTGGCTTCGTTGGTCTGGGCCAGTTCTCTCCAGATTTGATTCTCCACGCACAAGCTTTTCACTCTTTCTTGAAGGGCCCAATTCATTTTCCCCATCCTCTGGATCTCTTCGTCTTTCTCCTTCAGCTTCTTCGCCATTGCCTCTTGGATTCCCGATATCAACACCGTCGATTGCCTCACTCTCTGCTTCTGCAATTCCATTCTCATTTTCTCCGTCTGGCATCAACAAACAGATCAATGAGTCAATCAAGAAATCCAAATTCGGATAGGCGATAACAAAGAGCAAGTAGATGACGAAGGTGGTGGTTACATGTTGGGAGATGAAGTGATCAATCTCGGATTGCTGGTTCTGGAGTTGGCAGAGAATGTCTTGGTCGAGAAACGAAGAGGATGGACAGGACAGTTTGTTGATCTTGTGAGGGACCGAAAGAGCATTTGATTCGGCGATCAACTGATCTCTAGGACGCTTCCTGTTCGGCACGGCGGGGATGTGGCAGGTAAGGCCACTGTCAGCCTTGTTCATGGACGTTTTGGCGGAGGCTATATCACAAACAGTGGATTGGTAAAACGGCAAGAAAGGATCCGCCATCGCAGAAGACATAAGGGGCGGAAGAGGAAGAGCAGAATCCATCTGAGCATTGCATAAATCACTGCAAGGACAAAATCCAACAACTCATATCACCAAATGTCGAGAAAAATCTGGAAAATTCAGAAGGGAAAACCAGGAAGAAATTACACTATATACATAGAGTGAAGTGCGCGTGCATGCTGATGCAGATGTGTGTACCTGTTTGGGAGAAACTGAGGAGGGAAGAGATGGATGTGGCGAGCTTCCACTGCCATGAAAAGGTTAGGTTGATCTCAGCTTTTCTGTGATGAGTCTGGGTGTAGATTGTTTATCGCGTGAAGGAGAGGAAGAGGAAGAAGAAGAAGAAGACAGAGCATGCAATATTAGGGAGGCTTGAATGAATGAGTCGGGTTTATTTAGGCTTTGGTTTAGTGCGCCATTCTTTTTTGAGAGAGAGAGAGAGAGAGAGAAGTCAAACGCATCTTTCTAGACCGAGAAGGAACAGGTAATAATTTACTATTAAATATTTTTTTTAAAAAAAACAGACTTGAAATATAAAATATAAAAGGAAAAGGTAATTAGGTAAATCATGGAGGTAGCAGATTTTGGGGTGCGTGTATGAGATTGGCTTTTGACCTTTTCTCTCGTTTTGGGAATTTGGGAATCCATGTATTTTCGGATTCTTTATTATTTTTTATTTTTTTCCCCCTCTCTTTAATAATTTCCGGCATCATCACCACTTCATCGCCATCATCTTTCTCTTTCCAACCAAGAAAATCACCCCCCCTTTTAATTACCTCGGCAATGCATTTCTCTTTTTCATGTTCCCTTGCCCTCACGCAATTGTCTCTTCCTTTCTCTCAAGGACACTTTCGGGATTTCACTCCCCCATGCTCCACTGTCCCTCAATATCATTTTCTTATTTTATTTGTGAAATAACGTGATTGTTAAGGACTGTATAATTTTGTTGTGTACTATTGTCATTTGTTATGTACTTGAGCTATCCCATGATGCTGAGGCGGCCAAATGCTCGTTCATTGAGTGACACGTGGCGCCTCCCACGTTAGCAGTGAAATCTGGCGAAGCCACAGGCTACAAAGTGGCACGGGATGCCGTGAAAATGGGCCCCCGACGCACGTGCAAGGAGCGTGAGGGTCGGAAGACACGTAGGAAGGGAGTGGGGGGCCCACGAGGCATGGGAGTGGTGGGACCCAGATTTGTTGGGGAGCGGTTTCCCCGTTCCGCTACCTTTGTCCCCTTCCTTAACTGTTGTGTCTGTGTACGGACAAATGGGGAAACGTGAGAGAGAGAGAGAGAGAGTTATCGGGTGCGGAACAGACCCACTGGATGTGGAAGCGCTGCATCAGAGTCAACAATGGAGTTTTATATTAAATTGAATCTGAACAACAGTTTCGCAGTTTAATTAATTTAATCGTCAAAACAATAAAAATGACAATTTATCTCCATCTTCCATGGCCCAGTCAATGTTTCATATTTCGCGGACAACTAGACAACGCATCTTCTATTATAAATGGCTAAAATTTAATCTATTAATTTAGCATAATATAATATGGATAAATTAAATATTCTTTCAAGCTAATAGGCAATTCAATTATGTGATAAAAATATTTTATTAAATAATTCTTCAAATTTTCAAATCAATTAATAATTAATATTTCTTTTGTTAAAAAATATAAAGCATTTTTAATCAAATCTTACCTCTTAATAAAGTAATTACTTATTTTTAAATTAATTATATCTTTCATGTCTACCCCTATTTAATAATTTATCTCATAGGGCTATTTATATAAAAAAAGTAATAATTATATCTTAAAATATTAAAAATATCTTATATTTTTTAATGGAGGAAGTAATATTTAAGAAAATGAATACAATTTTAGCGCAATTTTTTTAGCTAAAAGATTTCTCATTTATATGAAATTCAATGAATATAATCACAGTAATAAATCTATTAAATTTGATATATTTTATTTTGCATCCAATAATTTATTTATATCATAGTTACAATCATCGAATATGTACTTATAATGATAAAAGATCATTTCAAGTATTGATTATATATATATATATATATATATATCCTAATCTTTATTCTACTGATCACACACACATATAAGTTACTCTTTTTGGTCTAAAATATAAGCATTTTATCTCAATTATATATTTTTATAAAAATGATGATCTTATTAGTATGTAAATTTTTTTCAAAAGCCGTCAGAGTGAGTATTTTTTAATGATTTGATGATTATTTTTATAAGTCACTTTACATAAAAAAACCCTTTAAAAGTTTGAGTGAAGGTTAGTCGATTACAAATTATTAATCATAATTTTCACAATTTTGATATTAATTAATTACAATGCACCATATCTTATTATAATAAATTATAGAAAAAACATAATTATTAATTTTTATAGTTTTTTTTTTCAAATTTTGCCTTTAGTCTCAGTAATTTTACAATGTTTTCAACAATAAGATTGAATGACATTTATTTTTTAGATTTTTAACGATATTAAATTACAAGTTGAAAACACTAAAAATAAATTTTAAGGACTAAATGCAGAATTTGAGAAAACTATAAAAATCAATAATTGTATTTTTTTTAAATAATATATATCATGAACTTTTATTTTGAAGAAATATTGTAAAAACTCTAATTGAATCTTGGTTAACTAAGAAAACATTTAAACGAAATAATTTCATTGCGAGAATGTTCATGATTGATACAAAATAAATTTAATATATAGTATCATAATAAATTGAAAATGCCAAATAGTATATATGATACGAGTACGTGAATAATTATATATAGCTGCCCCCGTTTGCCACTAAAAATTTGCTTATAATACTGAATAAGATAACTGGATTTGTCGATCCAAGTTGTCAAGACATTAAATGGGAAATATAATAAATATAATTTTCCAAAAGAAGAATAAATGCCATGTTATCCGTCATCACATGCGACACGCGCACGTATATATATGTGTGAAAAAATTATATACTTAATTTTATATATTTAATATATTTATTTTTAATTAAATTAAGATAAGTGAATCTTGTATACATTCTTTATTCTACAATAAATCTTGTTATTAATTTTATTAACATATTAAAATTCACTTTTCATAATAATTTAATTAGATATAAGTATATTAAATATATAAAGCTAATTACATAAATCCTACCATATATATATATATATATATTCTATAACAATATTTCATTATACACTGGATATATAAGAAAAAAAAATCAAGCAAATTGTGGATGATTCCTTTTTAATAAGATCTAGTCAAACTTGTCACATGTAATTGTGCGCGCGCGCTTATGCATGTTTTGATTGATATTCTGCACACTAAACATAAAGTTCTCATCATAACACATGCATGATGCAACCACCAACGGTTAACCAATGATGATAATTTAAGTAATTATTTAACAGCTAAAGATTAAAAGAAAAAACAACAAAAGTTCTCGTACATGCCCATGACTTCAAATGATTCTTCATGCTTAAAAAGTTAGGTCACATTATAATTAAAAACAAAACACTATAGAGCTTAGCTAGTCGACCAGAGCGCGTCCATATTTATAGAGATAATATTAATTTACATTACTTTTTTTGTTGTTGCAGACAGGCTTAATTTAATTATAATTATACATAAAATAACATCAATTTGTGAAATTGCAATTGATAATAAGATGTTCATGTCTGGCTTTTGCCTGAAAATGTGCAAGGCAGCAACCATATCATCGTGCAGAATCACTTGGCTGTGTTGGCACCCAAAAAAAATAATACTAATAAAAGAATCACTTGGATGTTAAATGAAAGGAAGTATAGAATAATTTAACTTTTCAAGGCCCTAAGACCTATTATAAAAAATTAAAAGGGCAATTTTGTCTGTAAATTATAGAAACAGAAATATCTAGAACCCCAATGTTTTGTGCATTTTTACATCTCAACATATTTAAAAATGTCACCATGTGCTCCTCCCATTAATTAAAAAGTAATGCCCATTAATTTACTGTTGTGAAACTTACATTTTCTTTCATATGACTTCACAATCAACATCATTGTAATTAACAAGATATACATTATGATGTCCTTAAATGTTGAGTGGCAAAATTATTCAAAAAAAAAAAAAAACACATATCCTCTTCCTTAGTCGTGCCATGCTGGTTGCTACTTAACTATATGCCTTCCCTTTCTTCTGCATTATTTTTTGTGTGCGTGATGGAGCATTAACTTTTGAGAGGTTCAAGCTTTACTTAAGAAGCTTAATTAATTCAATTCTAAACCATTCCCTGCCATATACTCTTTTTCTCATACGTGTGTCAGTGCGTGCTAATGTGTATGGCAGCATGCAAGCAAACCATGGATGTTATTATTTAATTTGATGATGATAATAATAAGGAGAAAGTTTATATACTTAATATACCTGTTTCCAATCACATCAAGACAAGTGAATCTTGTATAGATTATTTATTCCATAATAAATTCTTGTTATTAATTTTATTAACACATTAAAATTTACTTATCATGATTTCATTGCATATAAGTAAGTATATAGAGTTAAGCACATAAGTTTTACCCTAATAATAATTAAACGCAACAAGATCAATTTAGGAAATAACTAAAATAAAATACTTCTCTCAAATAAATTCATTATAATTTCTTGACATTTTTCCAAATATTATAGATGTATTAACCTGATTATTGACAAATATTTATATATTGCTTACATACATATATATTTTTTGGTAAGCATGATGAATAGACTCCATTGATAGCAGAGACTCTTTCAATTAAATTGTTACATACGAAAGACTTAACATTCAAATTCTCAATCACCTACTCAAATACTGATGGGAGCTTCTACTACTCATACCAAATTAGTTGGTTGCATACACATGTGTGTATTTTGTACACGACAGAGCGTGCACGCATATTTTTTTAAAAAAATATATTATTGACCATAATTTAGTTATTTTAAATCATTCAGTGTGCATTAGTCTGATTTTGAAATTAAGATGGGTAATTTGTAAATTCAACAACGACCCTGTCAAGAGACTTGATTTGCGCATAAATTAATTCTTGTTGGAAAGTACGTAATTGAAAATTCGAGCGTGTCTGTGTGTGTGTGCTGCATGACTAGTCAAATATATGAGAGGCCATTTTTCCTGGAAGATCCAGATTTCTTTCCCCGTCACATGTTTGATGAAAACACATGAGTGATGGAGAGGGTGAGAGAGAATCTTTCTTTTCAATAAATAAATCAAAGGAAATGGTATTTGATTTCAAAGGGAAAGAATTTGGAAAATTTGGTGTATGCACCAATTACTTGGAATTTCAAAGACCTAAGATTTCCACGTACTTGCATTAAGAAAGTTGAAAACAATAATTTTCATGAGAAAAATGT